CACTATAAGTACCATTTTAAAAAAAAATATGGAGCAACCTACGTAATTTACGTTTACATTTCTTTTGCTCGATAACTTTGTCTGAGCCAAAAACGAATGCAAGAAAATGGAAAAAGTGTAAGTTGATTGTTTATTTTTTGAATTTCAATTGCTTATATGAGCTAAATAAAAAATGAAGCGTAAAAAAACTCAATTAATCATTTTGATGCATAATTTATTCAATTTTCAATTTTACACAATGCGATAAACATTTTTGGATTTTGGTAATCATTTACATTGCAGCCAAAATGAGTGCAGATACAACGGACAAGCCAAGCACTGTGTAACCAGTTTTATACACTTCATTCAAATTCAAAAATTTGCCATTATCCCAGAACAAATGACGTACACCATTTAGTGTATGAAACGTAACGGGTAATGCCAGATAGAATTTGATAAACGCCAATGTAGCTGCGTTCAATTGCATTCCTTCAATCGCCGTCAACCAATAGGAAATATCATTTGGTGGTAATACAGCACCAATACAAAGACAAGCCGCAAATCCGGTAAGTGCCAAACCTAAAATTGGACAAAGATAATTAGAACATATTACAACCAATTTAAGTTAATGTTCAAATCTTTTCATTTGCTTATTTGCTTTTGTTGCAATATTTGAGCGCATTTTTGTCACTTTTTCAACAAAAAAACGTCGGACGTGTCTTTTGCATGAAAAAAAAAACAGTTAACAAAAGATGGGAAAATGGATTTTGGAGTGTCACTTCAAAAATATGATTATTTGAACTCCGAATCTATGCATGCTAGAAATTTGAATCTATCCACTCATAATTCATTTGAGTTTATGCAGAGTAAAACTGGTGAAAATTGAACGTACCGCTAATTCGATGGCTAATTGATATCATACTGGTCAATTGTGGCTTATAAATTGTCAAATGTGGTGATTGTTCGCGTTTCAAGAGTGAATTTTTCTCTTCGTATGATAAGTTATCGTGATTGGTTGGCTTAACAATTTTAAGTTGAACGCATTTATTGGCACTGGTTGTGAACAGAGCATTTTGATACAAATTTTGACCGACATTCAGTTTGAATAACAATGGTGTACGACTGGATAGTATTCTGTGGAAAACAATAAATGATTTATAAGAGAATAGCATCAAACCACTCGATTATGTAACTTGATGCAAATTCGATACCGAAAAAAATAGATATCTAAACATTGTATCAACATTTTAAGTTGAAAATTTCCATTTTATTGGTGCTTACCTGCCGAAGTTAAGTGCCATTGCCATTGTGCGGATCAAAGATATTATGCTGCTATTCAGGTGAGAAAAAGTGCGCAAAATTTCGATGCAATTTTTTTTGTAAATTCTAGATTGTTTTGCAGTGATGTTGTGCCTTGCTCTGACATTAAAACACAGATTCCATTGTATCACGTGCTTTACTCACGACATTACGTTTCGTTCACATTTGTGTATGTATATTGTGCTATCATTTTGAAATTGTACGGTTTTGAATACTGTTTTATTCTTAGTTGGATTCTAACAATGCATAAATATATTTGGTATTTGAATTATAATACTGCTAAAAGGAGAGCCGATGCAAATGATAGTCCAAGCACCATGTAACCAGTTTTGTACACATTATCCATTTCCAGACATTTTCCAGTATCCCAAATCAAATGACGAACTCCGTTGAACGTTTCCGAAATTGTTTTGCTGAGTGCGGCAACAAAGTTCTCGTTTGACACATTACAGTTCACGCGATAAAGTTTCGTTTACATTATCGTATATTCATCAGCGATAACGTACACATGACCTTAGCATATTCATGTAAAATTAAACTATATACCATTTACAATTGAAAAATAAGAGAACATTGTTTGATTATGACCACACATTTTACAATCAAACATTAACAAAGAGTCGATTTGACTTTCGGTATGCATGTTGCATTTGTTGCTTGCCACAATCAGTGAGCAACATTGATCAAGTGAAACATAGTTTGGAAATATCCGGTTTGAATTTGTTTTGTCGAAATATGATCTCGTCTGTGACATTGTTTAGATCATGTGTTGTTGTTGTTTCAAAATCTATAACAAAATCTGTCATTACTAAATCATTCGTAAGAGTGTTAAGAAGCAGGGAAACAGAGCGTTTTTATTCACAATTTTCTACGATGCGTCCACAAATCTATTGTACTCGATCAGACTTTCCAGCCGCTGGTATTGATTTACTGCAGAATGAGTGAGGATTTTTTTTTCGTTTGGTTAAATAGAAGTTAAGACAAAAAAAAACTCCATGTATAGATAGGGTTAGTAACAAAGGGTTATTTTATTCAATCTTATCAAAAATTTAGATGTGACATTGATGGTTGGAATGAGGCATCGGTTGTGCCACGAGATGAATTATTGAAAAAAGTCGTTGGAAAGGATGCACTGTTCTGTACGTTAACCGATAAAATTGATGCTGAGGTAATTGAATGTGCCGGGCCAAATCTAAAGGTCATAGCTACAATGTCTGTTGGTTATGAACACATCGATTTAAATGAGTGTAAGAAGCGAAAAATTCGCGTTGGTTATACACCAGAAGTGCTGACCGATGCTGTTGCTGATTTAACGATTGCATTGTTATTGGCAACAACACGACGTCTAATCGAAGCTAATAAGCAGGTTCATTCAGGTGGCTGGAAATCATGGGAACCGTTGTATATGTGCGGACCGGCTATTAAAAATACAACCGTCGGTATAGTCGGTTTTGGCCGTATCGCCCAAGAGGTCTGTTTTTTACCTCTATCATTTATTTCAAATCGATGTTATTTCACGTCAAAGTATTTCTTTAAAGGTTGCCAAGCGATTGATTCCATTCAAACCAAAGCGTATTATTTACTCAAATAAATCGAACAGCCGTGAAAAGGAAGCCAGAGAAATTGGGGCCGAACGTGTTGATGTGAATGATTTATTGAGAACAAGTGATATTGTTATACTTTTGTGTGCATTAACACCAGAAACAACGCATTTTATTAATGCCCAAACATTGAACACAATGAAAAAAACGGCTGTATTAATCAACTGTGCACGAGGTCAGGTTATTGATCAAAATGCATTGTACGATGCACTTCGTACAAATAAAATTCGTGCGGCTGGCTTGGATGTAACCACACCAGAACCATTGCCGCTCGATAGTCCATTATTAACGTTGAACAATTGCGTTATTATTCCACATATTGGAAGCGCCGAAATTGAAACAAGACAAGAAATGTGCCGAATCACCGCATTAAATGTGTTGGGCGCATTGAAAAACATCGAAATGATTTATGAATTGTGAGATTTTATTTTATTTTTGATGTAATGTAAATAACATTCTGTTTCAAATAAAATAAAAGAGCGCTCCGAAAATGTTTGTTTTTGTTATGATTTAAGAAATAGATTTGATGATGATTTTAGCTAACACGCATTGGTGGAGAGACCAAAATCACACCATCGCCACGGACAAATAGCATCGGAATCGTACGTTTTGTTGTTTTGTAGACTTCTTCGTATGTTTCTTCGTCAATTTCAACCGTAGTAACTGTTTCTTCAGCATCACCCAATACCATATTCAAATGTTGATCGAATGCCTACAGAAAAATCATTGAAAATTGTATAAACGTTGGTTTTTTGCTTTGTGCTATTAAATTAATATGAATATGTCCAATGATTACGATACATACATGTAAACGACCGCGAAGCTCTCGTTCATTGCGCATTTTGACATAAATTTTCTCATCTAAACTTAATCGAATCAAATCGAGTGGCTCTTTCACCGGAATGATTTGCATCTGCAATAAATAAAACAAAATATATATATATATAAAAATGTGTATTCAAGACTATCCACTTTTATGTTCCAATTTACCTGCTCTTCATCTGCCATTTTTAATTCGAATTAAATAATATCAAATTGTGGAATGAAATTGAGCGAAATTTGCTGAATTGATTTACAACGAAACGATTTATAACGCGTCTCAAGTGTTATTTACGTAGTCTTAACCTCAAATTAGACAGCAGATGTCATTTAATACAATCAAGTGTGAACCAGTCACAATCATTTTAAAATATTCGTCTAATTAGAGTCAGTTATGTGTATTTTTCAATGGAATCTTATAAATTCAATTGAAATAATTGTATAATTTTGAGTTAAAAATTAAAAATAAATTTTCATTGTTGTTTTTTTGACTAAACTATTCAAACGGGTTCGAAAATTGGAAAAGTGTACTTTAATTTTGGCAAAAGTTGCCCATTTTTGGAATTCTTTTTCGAGAATCTTCTATTTTTCTACCATGTATCGTTGATCAATAATTTTTGTTTTGCTCTCGATTCTTCTTCTATCATTTATAATACGGCTTCAATAAAAATTAAATCGCATACGCAACTTTTGCAAGTAGTCGCTTCTTTCAGATTGAATTGTTTCAATATCACATCTGAACTTATTTCAAAGCCGAATGGTTCACAAAAACTCAATTTTAAATGAAAATAGGCATTTTTCGTAAAAAATAAAGAAAATGATGAATATGTGAATATTTCTTGATTTAGAATCTTTGTAAAGTTGTCCATTTTGTTGTTCGCGCTATCCTGTGTGACCATTCTAAATATAAGCGTACCAAACGTTTTTGTTTGATTGTCAAAGTCCGAGGTAAACAGTTTTTCAATTGTTTTGAACAGAAATTAAATGTTTGCAAATTTCGATCGATTTGTGTAATTTAAAAAATGAAGAAAGCTGATCAAACAAATATGCAATAATAAAAAATCATTTCAAGAAAGAAAAAAAGCAACCTTAGAACCATGTCTAACAAATAGAAAATCGTTTGTTTTAATTAAAATGAAAATGCCAATTAATTTTTCTTAAAAATTTTACATTTATTGAACATATTTTTTTATACATTTGAAACTCCTAACTCCTGTCCATCGATGGGAATAAAGAGAAATTTATCATCTCAACGGTAAGTTCAAAGCGCCTGTTAAAGTTGACGTTGTAGGGTTAGCCGTAGAAAGACTTTTCGCGATTGGTGCCAGGATATTTTTAATAACAGGCTCTATTATAGGCCATACATAAGTGATAATTTCACCGAGATAGAAAAATATTTGTAAACACTTTACTAAATCAGCGATCCTATTTACTAATTGTGTAACCACTTCTATTAACTTTTGAACCAAATCAAGGAAGCTTTCAATAACGTTACCCAATTTAGTAAGTGCGCTGAATATATCTTGAGCGTAAGTTAATTGAACACCTGCAGCCAAAATGAGCAATGAAACGACGATACAAATTTCGAGTTGGTTCATTTTGTTTAACTTTTACAACGATGTGGTCTTAATTTTGTTTAAGAAATAATGCAATCAAACAATTGAACCAGCTTTTATACATCTACTTGTTGTGGTCGTAAATGTTCGCGAGATCGTCGTGTTTGATCGACACATTTTGAAATAATCAAAGTAGAAATAAATCAGAATTATTGTGCGGACATATGGTCAATTATGGCACCTTTCAATTAACTGAAATGTAGAAAATTGAGTAACTTCTTGATCATTACTTGGTCATTCTTGGATGTTATGTATGTCTTTTTTGAACATGTTTTTAATAGTGACTTTGTGCCTGTAAACTGAATCATTTCCCTACCAAAGTGGTAAGTGATGATTGTGACTTGTCGATGCGGATTTATGGACGCGAACTTGAAAATTTCTAAAATTCACACATTTTGGTAGCGTATCCCGCCTGTTCACTTTGCCCTCACTTCCCCTACTTTGGAAAAAGGAATACAATGTATGTGTGAAATCGGAATACTTTTAATTGCTTCCTATCAAAAAAAATTACACGTGAGGCGTAAAAAATACGACGATGCCCCAAAACAGATATTTCATATATACTGTTTTTTTTTTCTCCAGATGTTTGTTGTTGACATTGTCTAGTAAACAGCCTTATCATGTTTAATTTAAAATAAAATTGATTTTGACTTCGAACTGAATGCAAAAAGTTGCAATTTTTCATAATTAGTTAGTTTTTTGATTAATGTTAGCAACCAGACATAACGTCAGATGAATCATCTCAGCCAGATATATTTAATGAATTACTAAAGTAGCAATATAGGTGTTGGGAGTCTCATATAATATAGTCCAATCTGTGGATTTTCGCAAACACTGCACGATTTTTGGTCAAATAAAAGAAAACACGTGTGTTTATGTAAATACTGAAACTGGACAATTGAGCATATGGACGCAATGAGATACATTCCAATTGAATAAATTATATCTTAATGCTGACGGCTATAAAGTACATTGAACAATTTCAACAATTAAAGTTTTTTAACTACACAATATAACCCAATCTTTCCACTATCATTCATTCATTATTTCCTATTCCTGATGAGGATTAAATCAAATTCAATGCAGTATGTACTTGCTAGTTTTTTCACTCATATTATCTTCATTGCGAAATCAAAGCTAGAGAGTCTATATCTATAGTCTATCCTATAGTATGTTAGATGTATACATTTTCATTTTCAATTATTTTGTGAAATTATTTTAGTCGTTGATCTATTTTCTATACGCGCGCCAAGTTGTGTTTTAAAACTGCCTTTTGACTAAGATAATTCAACAAAAATAACTTTGGCATACGAGTAAGAATAGAGAATTTACGTTAACAAAATTCATTGCATACGCATTTAAGAAGCTTTGTTTTATGAAAACATGCGTAAAGTTATACCGAATCGGTCACCGATGTTTGTGATTTATCTGATGATAAAATAATTAAAAATAAATCAACAAGAACTGCAGTAGGGCATTATCCCTTCTATTGCACAATAAATTCATATGAAACTTATTGTTTTTACATTTTGCAATTGTTTTCATCAACAACTGGTTAAAATCAATCTAAATGCTTTATTATTTTGTATGGAATGTGGCACAATATTTATTTTTATTCATATTTTATTGCTTATAAGATACAATGATCTTATATATTTGAGAAAACGTTTCTTTCTTTATTTCTTTCTTTATTTATAAAACGGGTTATATTGTACATTTAACACCCTAATGGCCAATTACAAAATGTATTGTGGCGAATATATGGAAACAGTTTAAAAATTCAGAATTTATAATGGAAGAGAGAGAGTGCTTAATTTTAACCCTTTTTTTAAATTGTTAATAATTTCTACAATTAGTATTGCTTTCCATGGAATAAATATTAATGCTCCTAGAACACCCTCGCTTCAATTACAATATATGGATATGACTTTATGGCTAAATGATGGAAATATGAAGCGAGGGTAATCGTGCACCACGCATGTCTCTCACCGATCGGTAACCACTATACAAGAAGATAATTTGTATAATGTTGCGTCTGTTCAATTGTGTGAACCGCGTATCGTTTATACGCTCTGAAATCTGGCTCTTGCAAATCACGATCATAAAAAAGCTCCATATGTTGACGATGCATATGAAAGGCAGGGCTATAAAATTCAAAATTTGTCGTGACTACGGGGAGATAAGATCGCAGCAAACAAATGGTGATACACGTTTACACATTGCTCAGTTAAGTGGGGTTTCAAGCATATTCTCTAATAAATAGAGAATCTTTATGCTTCATTAATCAACGTTATGAAAATTCTTACTATTTTGTATAAATGACAACATTTGAATTGATAACAATGATACACAGAAAACTACATTTTATCAAAAATCAGTCAATATAACTCCTTATTGCCTTTGTAAATGAGGCACACCTTCGCCAGGTCTGCTCTAATCCTATGCAATTGTGGTCTCATTTTCAATACCTGGATTCATCATTTCAGCAAATCCAGCGGCTATAACGTCAGCCAGTCCGCCGGCTACTTTGTTTACTTTAGCCAGATCGCGCAAAGTACCTGTTTACGGCATGTGTTAAATTTGGCAACTCTTGTATTAGATGGAGAAATGCCTTAAAAGTTCTTATTAGCTTCATTAAACTTGGTAATTCATGCTACACACTTATCACACTTGAACCCATTTGAACTGCAACAAATCGAAACCAACGATCGAGAGTGACTCAAATTTTTAAAAATTATTTTGTTTTAACAAAGAACTGATGCTTCCAACTCAACGTACAGATTTTTATATAATATTCATGATAAAATCACAAAATTAACGTGACTTTAGTTTAACTTTATCTTATCAGAAATAGAAGAATTAAGAAAACGCATGATTTCATAAATATAGTTCAGTTTTCTTAATTTCATGAATCCGATAAAAAGAAATTGAAATTTTTGGTATTGCCAACATACAGGTTAGATATTGAGTTACCATGTCAACTACAATCAAGATTTATCGGCAGTAAAATCGCAAATGTAAGAGATATATGACAGGATTAGAATCAAAAATAGATTTATGCTTTGCCAAATGACAATATTAAATTATTTATTTATTTCTTGTTTGAAATTATACACTTTTTCCTGTAGTTTTACTTATTTGCCCAACCCAGATAAAATACCTAAGGGGAGAATCACAAAAGAAAAGAATATAATTAATTTTAAGATAATCGACAAATAATCGAAAAAGAATCGAAAAAGAATCAATAACAATTATTAAATAATAGAAAGGCAATTTTTTAAGTGAATTCGCCCTATAAAATACCCGATGCAGGTGATCCAGTTTGTCCATTTGTAAGAGCGCTTATATTCGTCAACACTGGATTTACGATGTCAGCAATTGTACCGAGTGGTTTAGTCAATTTTGCGACATCTCCCACAGCCTCTGCTAACTGTACAACTGCTTTTGTTAATTTTGGTAGCTCTTGTATCAAATAGAAGAAGGCTTCGATTAATGCCTTTAGAGTTTTTACTAAATCTGACAAATTTGGAAGTCCATCAAGCGCATCTGTTACCGATGCTGCGTAGCCAAATTGAACGGCAACTCCCAAAACAAGAACTGAAGCGATGATAAAAATGCTAATTCGTGTCATCTTTGAAATGATTTGGTTTTAATTTTTTCCAAAGAACTAATGCCACCGAGTGAACGCAATGGCTTTTATACAATATTCATGTGGCAATCATAAATTAACGCGATTTTGGCTTGACTTTAATTTATTAGAGACTTACGAATCACGAGAGACATAGTCATTTTTGTTTAAGCCCAGTACAAACAAAAAATATTTATTTTGTTAAGAAGCAACTATTTACAACCGAATATTGTGTGAAAACAAGGAAGAAAATCCAAATTTCGCACAATTTCGTTCGTATACAAATGCGGAATATTCCATTATTTCATAATAGTAATATCTGAGGCTCAAATATACATAAATCTAAAAAGTCCTCTAAAAAGTCACTCGCAAAGTCCGTTATCAATTTATATTTCGATAACATTTTGTAATATAACAAACGATCAAATATAGTTCTATTGGATTTGCGTATTTTCTTTTTCAGTCACCATATCTAACCAAACTACGTTGGCTGACTATCCCGTGTGGAAAAAAAGTGACTTACTAGCTGAAATCGAATGAAATTGAATTTTGTTAACCGAAGTCGTCTACCCATCCAGTCGACTTTAGTCGTCTATGGATGTCATTTTAAACAGATGACTAATTTGGGACATTTTTATCTATATAGTCAACTGCGATTGAAGTTGAATTAAGTTGCATTTTTCTCTACTAGGATTGACTGAAAAATCAGCCGAATCAACTTAAAACAACTTCAATCTCAGTTGGCTTTAGACTAGTCAGTCAGTAATTTTCCACAAGGGATTAAAAGAAAAATGAAGTTTTAAATTTATCAAAGAAAAAAATGCTTATAATATCAAATACTGATCATCATGGACTTTATTGAGGTCAGAGCTTTTTGAACATGGTTTTTGTGGGTCGTTCACACGTGGTACGTCGTCCGCCAATATTTGAAGACACGATAACTCCTACAAAAACATAACATTCTGAAAGTTTGAAAAATTTCAATGCGAATTATGGGTACCTCCCATACAAAACATTCAATATTCTTATCTTTCATTGAAATTTCTTCAAACTTGGTGATGTTGTGTATTTTGGTAAGAAAATTCATTTTATTACCTTGTATTTCAAATTTAAACACTTATTTTGAGAAATTGATGAAGACAACATATGAATTATATACAAAGTTTTTACTAAGTTAAGTTTGAAGACAACATATGAATTATATACAAGAAATTTGCCAGTTCTTTTCAAGCAAATTTGAATGATGACGTGAAGCAATTATTGATGATATCATTATTAGAAAAACATATAAAAACACTTCGATCTTTAATAGCGGTTAAGCGATAATAAGGATATATATTATAATGCTATAAAAAAATGTTACTATACTACATTTCATTGAAATCGTCCAATGCGTTCCGAAGATATGGCTATAGCCATACTGAAGAAAAGAAAAACAAACAAATCCAATATGAAAATTTTATTTCGAATTATTGTAAAATCAGGCTCACAAATTATAAATGCAACTGACATACACATTATAAAAAAATAAAGAAATCTACATATTGCCGTTTCTCAATGAAGATTGTGCAAACGGTATTTCCAACAGGTCGTTTTCGAATGGAAAAATCAGAAGAGCCCCTTCTGCATACTTAATGTCAAAATTCACGCATGCTCTCATTTTTTATTTTATTTTCGTTTATTAAAACATTAGGGAACATCTTATTTTATTGCCAAAAAATTTGCAGTAAAGAAATGTTACACGCAATTTCATTTCTTTTACGGGGCTTGGGACTTCTACTCCTTTACATTCTCATATTGGTAAAATTAAAAAACAAAAAAATACAATGTCCATATCAAAACATTATTTTTTGAATATTTTAATGTAACATTTTTTTGCAGTTGCAAATTGTTCACCATGGTACACCGATCGTAATCACATGGTGTTCGCTCAACGTCTTCATTGGTATGATTTGGTTACGATTTTTTTTTTGATTGAAAAAATATTCAATAACATACTACATACTAAAATTTAATCCATTCAGCATTCGCGATGTATGCAATGGATGAAAACGAATCACATCTGACAGAGCAAAATACTAATACGGTTGTGCATCGATATTAATAGTATACCTCAGCATCAACGAAATGGTGAGAGATTAAACGAAAAATAATTCAGATTACATTTTTCGATATTTTTATCGATTTTCGTTAATGTTCTAACACTTAAAATTTCGTGATAGGACGAGTTAAATAAATCATTGTGTATTGTGCACATGCAGCATCCTAACCTAAAATCTCGACGAAAATAAGGGGAAGATGCAATATGAGCCAAATGTGAGGAGTTCGATGAACCTTCGTCGTATTGACTGAAAATACCATAATATCATGGCTGTCAAAATTTGTGGAATTGTTCCTTGCAAGCATCCGTGGTGTTTGTTAATAATATATTCTAAAATGAAATATTCTAAATTTTTTCTAAAATAGATTATACGAAAGTTTACCTATATATATATACAAATCTAAAGAGCACCAATCATTTATATTAAAATAAATCAATAAATGTTGATTTTATATGGCGAAAAATTGATTTTCTTTTTTCAAAAATATACTGCTTTACAAAGCATAATTTCAGTTTTTTTTTTAACTTTTTTCTCTAGTGGAGGTAACTTTTGTGTGAATACAATAATTCAACCAACTGCAAAAGTAGATTATAAATCAATAAGCCCTTGAAAGAAAACCACTCACATTTTTCTCTTTTTCTCAAAGTTTAAAATTCATTTGTCAACATTTAATTACTTTTTTTAAAAAATAATTTTAATAAAAGTCTATTTAACCGACATTTCGAATAAGAAATCGTTCATCGCCCAGTAAATTTTATTATTCGCCATTCGAAGTGTGAACGATGCATCATCGATGTTAGTAGCTGTCAAAATGAAACAGATGTTTACTAAACGCATACATAAACGATGAATAATAAATACGGTAGTATCGATAGCAGCAATAAAGCACTATGTTTAAATTAATCAATCAAGTTGTTTTGTTCGCGACGGTTGTGTTAAGTTTTTGTGTTTGTGTTAACCTTGAAATTGTGCCATCGATATTGTTTGAAATAAATTAGTGGATTTGAATGAAAATTGTGAAAATTGATCGAACCGATCCAGATTATCAGTTTGTTTAATTGGAATGTAGTCGGATTGAATTGATTTTTTTTTGTAACTGCATGCGTGGGACGGGAATATCGAATAGACGGGAATATGATAGGAAGTGAGTTTTCTTTCAAGAGCGTTCTAATCTCAAAGTTCACAAGATTGTTTACTTGGCCGAATGTCTCATTATTAGATTAATACTGTATGGCTATCATAATCATTGAAGCAATTGAACATAAACATTTATCAGCTATTTGTTATTGATTTCGTTCTTTATTTAGGGCGGACAAGAGCAAGAGCTGGTTATACGTCAATAACACGACAAAGCCAAATCTTAAATCATCAATGCGATAACATTGAAATTGAAAATGAAAATGTGCCTGAAGTGTGTAGCGGTTCGGCCACATCATCAAGTGCTTCATCGCGTGAATATCTTCCAAATGCCCCAAGTCCGGTCGCATATAATGCTTACGGATACAAGTCATCAACTATACGCACATTATTGTATCACATGATCTCTATTCTATTTCTGGGCATTCCGTACTTGATCTCTCATTCGAGTCTTCAATTTTTCGTTTGGTTAAAATTGCAAAGTTGTGATTTGGATAGCTGTGATTTAATACTTGGTTAGTTTGGGCTCGTCTCTTTCATTCTTTTCGCATCCAATATTTATCGTTTCGCCAATTTTGTTTCACAGTCACAAATAAACGAAGTGGCCAGGCTTCACTTGAACATGTTGTGACAATACGTATCACTGCCGATAACATTGCATATTATTCCAGTATTTTGAAGGAAATTTGCCGAGAAAATGGATCAACAAACAAAATTCGAACTTTTGAATTCGAACATGTTCGTTACATTTATAACTATCACATCGATCATTTTGTGCGATTGCGACAGCTCGATGAACTTTCAACCACAAATCAACTCATTTATTCCAGTTTAAATTGCGTATCAGATAAACAACGTGATGCTCTGTAAGCATTTTTTTGCATATTATGGAACATATTAATTTTGTATGTATTTGTTTTGTTTATCCATTTATTTTCAGTTCGTTTTTGTTTTTATTTTATTTTTTGGTTGGTTTCTTTATTCCGCTCAATTCATTGTCTACCCACACGCACACACAATTGCATTTTCTTTATTTTTTGTTTATTTACAGAACACAATTATATGGGCGCAATACAATTGAAATAGCTGTTAAATCGTATTGGGAACTATTTCACACCGAAATTCTCAATCCATTTTATTTATTTCAAATATTTTCGGTGACATTATGGTGTTTCGATGATTATTACTATTATGCTGGATGTGTTTTTCTTCTATCGGGCATTTCCATTTTCTGTTCACTGTACGAAACGAGAGCGGTGAGTTGCGATAGTTATTTTATACTGTCAACAAAAGAAAAAAATGTTTATCTGATAAAAAAATGACTGTTGAATGTTATACATATTTTGTTCATGATTTTTGATGTTTCACTATTCATTTATAGCAAAGTATTACATTGCACAATGTGATTGAGCGTGTAAAGTCGGACTATATTAAGATATTGAATGAATCGAATGATGTGGATGTAATTGCGTCTGATTCGTTGGTGCCAGGCGATGTAATCGTGATTCCAATGGATGGCGGAATATTGGCATGTGACGCGGTGTTAATATCCGGTTCTTGTATTGTAAATGAAAGTATGCTAACGGGTGAATGTGTCCCAGTCACCAAAACACCACCCACATCAAATGATTCACCATTTGAATGGATGTCACAAAAAAGACACATTCTCTATGCTGGAACAACAATACTACAAACAAGATACTATGGAACTGAGAAGGTATTTATTTATCCCGTTGGATTTTTTTGATCCAATTAAATGTGTTTGTTTTTCGTCAGGTATTGGCAAAAGTCGTTCGGACCGGTTTCAATACTTCGAAAGGTGAACTCGTCAAAAGCATCCTCTTTCCTCGTCCGATTGAATTCCGATTTTACGAAGATTCGGTGAAATTCGTCTCAATGTTATTTGGTGTGGCTGCTTTGGGTAGGATAATTAAAATTTATTTTTTCTAGCGACATTTTTGCCATATGCATAATTGTTCAAATGTTATCCGTGTCCAATTCAAAGGTATGGCTTACACCATTTATCTGTATCATGCACGTGGAGCTGATATAAAAACCATTATTGTTCGAGCATTAGACATTATAACGATAGTGGTACCACCTGCGCTACCGCTTGCGATGACTGCTGGTCAGGTCTATAGCCAAGCGCGTCTCAAGAAAAAAAACATTTTCTGTATTAGTCCCCAGCGTATCAATGTGTGCGGCAAATTGAAATTGGTATGTTTCGATAAGACAGGCACTTTAACGGATGACGGTTTAACGATGGACGGATGCCGTGAATGTCGAAACGGTGCTTTTCGCACTAGTCACACACAATCACCGAATGTTTTCGACGAAAAGTAAGCATTTTATAAACCTTTGTTTGTCCCAATGCAGTGTCTTAATAATATGAAAGCATTTCATTTTCCTTCTCGCAGAAATAATTGATGAAAATATGATTTTTTTTTTTTAATTCTAGATCGAATATAGTCCAAAATATGGCCACGTGCCACTCGCTGACAACAATAAACGGTACATTAAATGGTGATCCCCTGGATTTGGAAATGTTCAATTCAATCAAATGGGAATACGTCGAGCCTGGCAGCGAACATACACGTTTCGATAATTTAGCTCCGGCAATGGTGCGCCCAATTAAATTGAATAAACGTTCACCAACTATATCACCGAATTCCGAGGGTGAATTAACCGAAGTGCCATATTCCATTGGAATTATAAAACAACATCAATTCACGTCGGAAGCGCAATGTATGTCGGTGATTGTGCGTGTATTGGGCGAAAAAAATATGAAAATTTTTGCCAAAGGTGCTCCGGAAAAAATTCACAGTCTATGCCAATCAAATACAATACCAAAGGATTTTTATGAGGTGCTTTGTAAATACACATCAAGAGGATACCGTGTGATAGCAATGGCACATAAGAAACTTTCATCGAAAATCAAATGGACTGAAATTGAACGCATGAAACGTGATGAAATTGAAATTGATTTAGTTTTTGATGGTTTTTTGATTTTATTAAATTGTCTCAAGCCCGAAACAGTCAATGTAATCGATGACTTACATGCGGCCAAACTACGTACCGTCATGATCACAGGTGATAACATAATGACAGCATTATCAGTTGCCAAAGATTGTAAAATGATTAAATCGAATGAAGAGGTTTATATTGTGAAATGCGAAGGCTACGGAAACGATAAACCAAAATTGACAATTGAATTGAGTCGAGATATTGGTGCTGTTGACGATACAACAACATCGGAAGATGGGATAAATAACGTTGGATTTAATGCGGTATATATGTCTTTCGAACTTTATTAAAAATGATAGAAAGTATTCATAAAATGCAATTATATTTCACAGCATTCAACCTTATTGAATATATCGGCAGATCGATATCATTTGGCATTGGATGGAACCGCATGGAAAGCGATTCAAGTGCATTATCCGCATTTTATACCGCATGTTGTGGCAAGGGGCACTGTATTCGCTCGATTTCGACCCGAGCAAAAGAGCCAAATTGTTATATGCCTAAAGCAATACGATTATATTGTGGCCATGGTGGGCGATGGAGCTAATGACTGCGGTGCTCTTAAGGCAAGTAGTTGTCACAGATCCAATGGCAAGATTTCATTTTATTGGTGAAATATGAGTGATTTATGACAATGAAATTGAATTAAATGACCTAAAAAATAGCCAATATATATGGCACGACGCCAAAAAGTATGCAATAATCTCCCAGGGCTATCCTTTATGATTCTTCGAATGATTTGTTGAATTTGTTATGTATTTTAAGAAGTTTTTCAATAAATCATTATTTTACCTCTTCTTTTTTCTCATAGGCAGCACACATTGGATGTTCTCTTTCAAAGGTAATTCGAATTCCATTTTTACATTTTGATCTTTTTATGAAAATGTTGTTGTTAATTTTTATACAATTTTTTTTAGGCTGAAGCATCAGTGGCAGCACCATTTACCAGCACCGAAGAAAATATATCGTGTGTCAAACATTTAGCACTTGAGGGTCGCTGTGCGCTTGTTACATCATTTGGTCTATTCAAATATATGATAATGTACTCATTTATTCAATTTATTGGCATTCTCATTTTGTACACGGTAAGAATCGATATTTCTGTGTGTCGACAATAAGATTCGAACTAAATTTAAAATTTAAATTTTTAGCATTCATCGATTTTGGGAAATTTCCAATTCCTCTATGTTGATTTAATAATAACGGCTAGTTTGGCATTTTCAATGGGTTTGTATCAAATATTCCATTACTAAAGAATTCCTATCCATTCTTTCGATTATTTTTCCATTGATTAAATTCCATCTTTTTTTCTCAGGTCGACAAGGGCCTTCTGATAAATTGGTCGAACGACGACCTAGCAGCTCTTTGGTCTCATTGGCCAATGTAGTTCCGCTGTTATTGCAAGTGCTTCTTTGTGCAACCATTCAATTGTCGGCTATAATTTATCTATTTAATCAGCCATGGTAGGATAACAATTATTTATTTTCTGCAAAGTATATTTAATTGTTCAAATATTAACCGCTTCCAATTGACAGGTATTCGGCAAACGAACAAAATACCGTTGGCAACAACGATGATGATGACGACGAAAGTGTTTTGTGTTGGGAGAATACGGTGCTATTTTTGGTCAGTTGTTATCAATATCTAATTTTAGGCGTTGTTTATTCAAAAGGTCTTCCATATCGCCAGCCGCTACATAGAAATGGTACGTTTTATTCACGTCTCTTGGATTGCAAATCGATTAATTGTGAATGGAATTATTATTGCAGGTTTATTACTTTTGTTTGTTGCTGTTTTAACAACGTTTACCACGATGCTGCTGTTGCGACCGTTTGCATTTATATCGGATCTTTTCGAAATCAAACCATATCAAGATACACAAAATGCTATCAATGTCTTCCGTTTTACAATTCTTGTGTTTCCATTCATGCATCTTATGTTGGCCTATGGCATTGAGGTAACTATCAATCACTTATTTATCGCTATCAAAGCTATTGATTTTATTATTTTGAATGTGATGCACTCACCCACTTGCTTAGTGACCGAAAAATAAATTCATTTCATCAATCATTTAATCTTATCGATTCAACTTCAAAATGAATTTATTTTATATTTGAATTTTATTTTCTTTTTGCATCTTGACACATATCGCCAACATTTTTTTTTACCCTTTATTTATCTAATTGTTTTGATTGTTTTTATTTACAGCTATTGATTGCCGAACGACAATGGTATAAAAGTTTTATACACTTTATTGTACGTAAAAAAGGTCCACGAAATAAATTCAAAAGAATCGAAATCGATGTACAGGCAAACAACAACATATCCGAATTGCAACGTCATTTTGACTGTTAATTCTTCAAACATACATATTATAAACTGTATAAATGTGCGTAGAGCAGATGTATCAAAAATCGAAATCAATATCCAATTTGTTATTTAACGTGATTTCATTTAAATGTACTCAATGTTTTTTAATTCGTTTTTCTTTAAATAAAAGCATTTGTATACAAAATCGATTTTAAATTTGGGCTTAACAATTCAATTTATAATGTTATAAAAGACACTTTAGTAGACGTCTAATAGAGCAAATCAATTGGGGAACGTTTCATTGGCCGCATGATGATGAAGAACTCTCAAATATTGTCATAAGATCTGCTTTAAACTGCTTTATATCGGTCCGTTATAGCAACCACGGATCGGAGTTACTGACAAAATTAGCCACATTTTTTGGGTAAATAAAAATTTAAGTACAAGTTTTTATCAAATTTGAAATGTATAATCTTCATGCTTTCGAAAAACTAAATATAGAACAACTTGAAACTTGAATTCAAAGAAATGAAAGTATTGAAAGCGAAAAAGTGAATAAATAAAATGGCCAAATTAAAATTGTATAATTTCGTCGGCGTTATGATTTATCTTAATCAAAAGTGAGTCATGTTGGCATTTAAAATTCTTAAACGTATCGATGTGAATATGAAGCAAACTAAAGCGATGATTCACATTGTGGGGGTATCAATGTTCAAATTTCAACTATTTCTCTGAATCATTTAGTTGAATATTAAAAATGATATCAACATTTGTTTTCCATATTAGCACAAATATGTTGTATGTTTAACAAGTGTTTATTTTCCCCTTCAAATTGGCAATTATTTTCTGTGTCTACAAGAAGTTGGTCAAGCTTAAATTGAAAAGCGAAGAAAAAAAAACGTTACGATTCGAAAATGGATTAAGTATGAGGTGACGTTTTTATGAGGCGCATGGTATATGCGAGGGTTCGGTTATCGAGATTATACTCGAACGCATACATCACATTTAAAATATATTTAAAAAAAAATTGCGTCCGAAACCAAAAAAAAAGAAGAAATAAAATAAAAGTGTTGTGACCATCTGTTCATTTTCTTGCGAACGAAAAAAAAAGTCCGAATCATTATAAATCATTACGTAGCTCATGTTCAACGAAAATTGCGCAATGCAATCTACCAAATACAGTCAATAGCATTTGACGATGCATAATGGATCGTACTTTCAAGGTTGTGTGTCTAACAAGATGTGTGTGTGTGTGTTTCTGTGTGTACGAAATATAGTAAATGATGGTTATGGCAATGCATCAATGATGGCATTAGACTAGGAGTATCTGTAGCTGCGACAACAGCAGACATACAGACGGACAGTCAAAATGTGTAAATTAAACGAATCATGCATCGAATCGACCGGAGAGTGGAATAAAAGAGTGTATAACTCCAATAAATACACGCAGTGGCATAGTAAACGAGTGAGAGCGAGACCGAGCACTGACTAGAGCACACATTCATATGAACAGCAAAGAAAATAATAATAAAAAATAAAACTACAGTGCCTTGCAGTAATTCAACCAAATCCAATAGCATGAATAATATGGGGAAACGAGTAGTGCGAATGCGCCGTTGCTGCTAAACACCCAAGCACAGACATTTGACAGTGTCAACAACAAACAATAAGTACGATACCGTCGCGCAAAACGGTATTACGTACGTCTCTACGAGAGCAGAAGCACTTGCTGAGCGAATAAATTGTTTTTCACTTCTTCTTTTCAACTCTAAATTTGTTTCGAACCGTTTAAAATTCATTCTCACATTTTCAACTGAAAGTGAAACGCGAAAATAAAATCCATTTGATGATTAACAACATTAAAAATCGTTTGAAAGCAAGGAAAAAAATCGAGTGACCAAATAATTTTAGTGTATATATGATTCATTGTTGCCATCCATTGGGAAACGGATTGTGGTGTGTAAAGCGGTGTGTGTCGAGGAAAATCGATATTGGTCCGTTTTTGATTCGAATGAATTTTGCATGATAGTGTCGTTTCACATTTTCTTTTTTTTCCTTTTTGTGAAAACAAAAACTAAAACATGTACAAGTGGTTCGAAAAGAAAATAACAATAATCATGATAAAACCACCGGGATATTCATGAATTTAGAAAGAAATCTACACGCATTCAAAAGATAGACTGAACGATACAAAACACAATAAATAAGAAGCAAATGTTGCCAATCACACTGTATAATGAACATTTTAATTGGTGATAAATATTTTTTTGGTCATTTCACATCACTTTGTGACACCGAAAGATGAAATTGATGGACTTTTTTGTTTAATGCTGATCGAAGCCATAAAGTTGAAAAAAAAAAAAATAATCGCAAAGTGTGGTACAACAATTAATTGATCTCTCAGCCTAAATTTGTGCTGTGCATTGTATATATTGCCTATGTCACAAACAACGGCCAAAATATTCGAAACGCTTCATGGTTTCATTTGCAATTTGAATTTTTCATGTGTAGCAACGGATCTGTGTTTGTCTCTGTCTCACGCTCACCCTCTTTCACTTTCTGTTTCGTCAACAAAATCCGTGAATGAAAATTTTGTGGTTCAATTTTGGTGTGTCATAAATTAGAGCAATATCGAAATGAAATGATATTTCAGAGACTGCAAACCAATTAGATTGTGAACAAACAGCTGTAGTGGTGAACGCATGTTTTGTCGAAGAAAAAAAACTTAGACAAAAGAACTCAGTGTGAGTGTGAGGGAGAAACCATCAGTAGTTCCAAATGTTAAACGTTTAGATTTTGATACTCGAATAGAAATGATTAATTCTCAAAACGGTAAACATACCATTCGATGAGTAAAACGGAGAAACAAAAGTGAAAACAGTTCATAAACGGTCTTATCGATATTTAGTCCATTTTTTTTGTAATATATCGTAGACCAACGTTGGCAACGACTTTATTAATTGCCAAGCAAAAATATTAAAGCAAAAAAAGGGGAAAAGCGAATAATTTTATTGCGAAAATCGAGCGCACAAATTAATTTCATTCGTCCGACGTCAATTGTTCAGCAATCAAACATGGAACGTAATAACAACAATTCGAGTGCTCGGAATAAGAATTTGGTAAGTTCAAATAATTTCGTTCGTTTTAAAACAGAAACAGTTTATTTTCTTTCGATTGGAATATGTCAATAATTCATTTTTCATTCACATCAAAAAAATGTCTTATTTAATTGCGGTTAGAACGCTTGAAAATTGTGTCATAAAAATGAAGCGTCAATTCAATTTGCAACTGTGTTTATTTATCAAACTGTTGATAGATAATAGATCAACAAGCTTGTTGTTTCATAGTTTCCATAGTGTTTGTCGGTAATTCAAAACCAAAGATTATTATTCAAGTAATCGCATATCAAATTCCCGATATAAATGAATGAATATAATGTTTCGTTTGCTATTTATTTGTCTATGTTTGGCATGCGTTTTCATTATCATTTACCTAACGTTAAGTGCATCTTACCTAAACGTTAAGCAAACTTCTTAGTGGAAAAATCAATATCTGACTGATGATCTGGAATAACAGTGCGATACATCCATATGCATCGAATCAGTATTTTTGTTTTGTTGTTGTACATACAAGTGCCGTTGTTTCACACATTTTATGCGATTCAATTAGAAAATGCCGTCTCTATTGCAATACGATTCGATTTTGTTTTGAACAGAGTGACAAACGAAAATGTAACATGCATGTATGACTCGGTTTGACGGCACAAGTGTTTTTTTTTTCTTCTCATTCGTAATAAATAAAACATTACGCCTCTTCGGTACGGCGTGACTTGGCCAGCCTGTTTGTAAATACATGCGAACAATCAAAATGTGCCGTACCTTGTTTTACATGCTCACGCTTTCTAAACCCTGAACAAAAAAATATTATAATAATGACAGTCAATGCTCTAAACACGATGTTTTCACTTCGATCATTCGAGGAAATAAATCGCTAAATAATAACTGTTATTGAATGTCTTCGGAATAAGCGGAACAAAAATGACCATTTTTATATGCCATATTCATCAAATATTCAGGAGGTTTAGACGACCATGGTCAAACCGATGGTTATAAAGAAATAGGTGATGTTTATCTTTCTTTTTCAATCGCGTCATATTCAATTCAAATCATATTTTTTACAGGTGCAGTCTCGATTCGCATCGAAACTTTTTTGCGGTTTTTGTTTCGTTCATTGATTTTGATTTGAATGCGTGTGTGTGTGTGTTGACATAAAAGCAAAGCCGCTGCTTTGAATTGTTGATTCTTTATTTTTTAGCAGGGTTAAATTGCTCATTTTTCACTTCAGTTTCAACAACATTTATTTACATCCACATTCTAATTCACAACTGTCTTTCACTTTCATCGCACATTTGTTTAACGACTTTTAAATTTTGTGTTTGTTTGCCCACCTGTTCTCTGTCGTCGGTTGATGAACGATTTAATAATTTACTTTTCGTATGTTTGTGTCATTGCAATCTAGTGATTTATAAACTGCATGTCTCGTTGCGATGCGATCGAATGTGCGAAATAAAGGGCATGGTTGCGTGCATGATTTTTCAAAAGTACAGAGCAAAAGTCAACTAATAAGTAATAATTAGCGGATGTACAGAATCGTTGCTCTTTCATTCTCGCTCCCGAGCCCGCTCTCTCTCTCTCTCTCTCTCTCTTCTTAATCCATCTCTATGCACTCGCTCTCTCTCTGAAACGAGCAAAATCGTTTTTGATGCTAATTTAACAGCCATAAAACTGTATTATATTGCAATTCATTCTCTCGGTGTGATTTGAAGCAGTATGAAAAATTAAAATGAACAAAAAAAGCGAATCAAAAATGCTTAAGGTTTTCCATAAATAAAACGTCTTTAAATGGCTATATTTAGAAGCATTGGCAATAAACAAAGTGATGCATTAGCCGAACAAATACAAATGATTACGTCTTCAAATACTTCGCTTCGGTGCCTTCTTTTCATTCGGATTTCAAATAGGGATTTTCAGTTACTACTCGGTTTTTGTTTACAAAGACACACACACACACACTCTATAGTCCATACAAACATAGCGTCGTGTAAATATATGAATCATTAAATGATACAATGAATTTTAGTTTGCTAGTTTTGATTTGGATAATACGTAGAATTCAAGCAATAATCGATAGAAACAATGGGATGAACAGTACACTATCAAACCATTAATGATGTGACCTTGCAGTAGTAAATACGCTTGAAACCAGAACAACAAAAAAAAAGCAACCAACATCACAAAAATTAACGACTAACAATTGTTTTTTGTTTAATTTTAATTGTAGGTGAAGAATGAGTGCGTACAAGTGGTGGTACGATGCCGTCCGATGAGCAAAAAAGAGCAAGCTAGTGGTGAATACAAGCAAGTTGTCGATGTATATCCATCACGTGGTGTCGTCGAAATTCAACATCCAAGCAATACAAACCGCGAAAATCGTAAAATGTTCACATATGATGCGGTTTATGATAAAAGGTATGTTAAACGTACAAAATTGATTTTCAATATCTTTTTTTTTTTATTCATAACGTCAATATAATATATTTGTTTCGTTTGTTATTGTTTTTTTTTTGTTGTTCACAGTGCAACACAAAAGAGTTTATATGATGAAGTGGTGCGACCTTTGGTGTCATCGGTGCTTGAAGGTTTTAATTGTTGTGTATTTGCCTACGGTCAAACGGGCACTGGTAAAACATTTACGATGGAAGGTATTCGATCGAAAAATGTTCGTGCATCGGCCATTGATAGCATTGGCGAAAATAATAAAGAACTTGAAGGCATCATTCCACGAGCTTTTGAACAAATTTGGTCGAATATTAGCCGATTAGAGAATATGAACTTTTTAGTAGCTGTTTCCTATTTAGAAATCTATATGGAAGAATTGCGCGATTTATTAAAACCGAACAGTTCAAAATCATTGGAATTGCGTGAACACGAACAAATGGGAGTTTATGTGCCGAATTTACATTCGGTTCTGTGTAAAAATGTTGATGAAATGCTTAACGTAATGGCTCAAGGTAATAAGAATCGAACAACTGGCAAAACAAATATGAATGAGCATAGTTCAAGGTCACATGCAATTTTTATGATAAAAATTGAAATGTGTGATTTGGATACGAACAAAGTAAAAGTGGGTAAATTGAATTTGATCGATTTGGCCGGCAGTGAACGTCAATCGAAGACCGGTGCCACAGCCGATCGCCTTAAGGAAGCGAGTAAAATAAATCGTGCACTTTCATCATTGGGCAATGTTATATCGGCGTTGGCTGAAAATTCACCGCACATTCCATATCGAGACTCAAAACTGACACGACTACTGCAAGACTCATTGGGTGGCAATTCAAAGACCATTATGATTGCAAACATTGGACCATCATCTTATAATTACAATGAAACGGTTACTACATTACGGTATGCGCAACGCGCCAAAACCATTCAAAATAAACCTGTCAAAAATGAAGATCCACAGGATGCCAAACTTAAAGAATACCAACAAGAAATTGCCAAATTACGGGTATGTCATTATTATTTATTAAACTAAAACCGAAGCGGTTTGACATTTTTCATAATTTTGATTTCTTTCGTTCATTTTTATAATTTGCGAAACGGCAGCAAATGATTGCGGAGCGTCAAAACAAAGAGAAAACGATACCAAAGCGAAAAAAGAAAAAGAGCATCATTGAAGTTATATCGAAGAATGAATTAAATCAATATGACGATGAGGACGACGATGATAAGGACGATGATGTTAGTGATAATGAAAAAGACTCGATAAATGATGCAATGGCCGAAACAAACGAAGCATTGACGGTAAATAACTACAACAGCTTTGATATTTAAAAATATCAATGTCCATTTTAATGATGTCTAATCAAATGCCCAACAAACATTTAATTATAACCTCTTTTTGCGTCGTCGTTTTATTTTTAAATTAAATTAGCGCGAGAAAGAGATTACAAATACTTTAACAACAAAATTAACAGAGATGGAAAGTCGACTTGTTCGCGGTGGACGTAATATTTTAGATACATATAATGAACGACAAATTGAATTAGAGAAAAAACTCGAAGAAATTGCCGAACGAAAGAAGCGTGAAGTTGAAATGCAACAGCAGCTTGAATTGCAGGAAGAGACAACGATTGAAATACGCGAAACATTAACATCCGTTCAGCAAGAAGTTGAGCTCAAAACTCGCAAATTGAAAAAATGCTATGCCAAATATATGGTATGACCAAATGTTTACCTCTTTCAATTTATCCCATTTGTTTTTCATGAGATTAAAAATTTTAAAGGTTTTCATCACGATATTAATTATAAACATTGTTTAAATTTTAATCTGTTATGCAATTAAAGGCCTTAAAACAGGAGCTAATTGACACAAGAGATGAGCATAATCGTGAAAGGAGAGAACTGGAAATGTCACAAAACGATTTGATTAAGTAAGCACATTCATTTTATACTCCATATTAAACTCAACAAAAAAAACTGGTTATTAACTTATAATCCTTTCATTTGTTTAGGGAATTGAAACGAATTCTCTTGTTGGTTGATAATTTTGTGCCGATTGAAGTGAAAACTCGGCTGTACACACAAGCACGCTACGACGAAGAATTAGAAGAATGGACAAACAATTCAAGTCGTTTGACGGACAACACACCGCTTCGACGGCCAGTGTCTCAACCGCATCGAAGACGTCCAATATCCGAATATGCACTGAAATTAATGCAAAGAAATGATGACGATTCAATAAATATTCGAGGTGAAAATATTCTGATGCATGAACTAGATATGCCATTAAGAACAACCACCGATTATAAAAATCCAAAAATATCGGCATCACTGCAAGCGGTTTTGGCTGAAGCATTATCCACTGACGATGATGTTGACATCACGGGCCAGGTGAGATTAGTGATCTATGTTTTAATTCGATTCAATTATATTTCGTTCAAAATTAATAATATCGTTCCAAAATTCGACTTTTACAAATCGCAGACCAATCAACAGATCATGCGATCCCGCTTGGATAAGATACTCAATAGAAATGCACAAGAACCTATACAAAATAGGTAATAAAAATGGTCAACAAATTTCGTTCAACATATTAAAAAGCATTTTTTTTTATTCATTTAGAGTTCAATCATCGTCTAGAATCAAATCATCAAAACCAGATGTTGGTATGACCGCGCGTCGCAGTGTGTCATCGTCGCGAAAGCAGCCAACATCTGCATATCCAAAGTCCAGAGGACTTATTACCAAATAGTATACATAATTTTCGCACAATCATCTAACTTATTGTTCACAAATGGCTCGTCGTCGGTCGCATATTTTCTCATCTATCGAAACAAACATGAATATATTGATCGCATCCAAGTGAAAATGGCTTGTCTATTTACTAAACATGTATTGAAAAATTCTCATTGTTTTTATGTTCATTTTTTGTTTTTGTGATATTCAACAAATAAATGTTAGTTTCATATTGAGGAGTTTGATACTTCTGTTCCACACAATATTCGGATGTCGAGCGAATGGAAACCATTTGATTTTGCCCACAATCCGTTCTAGATCTAGATTTAAAAGAAATAAAATAAAATCCTAGCTTCAAATTCATCTTTGAAATCGCGATTAAACTAGATAAGGAATATATATATTCAATCAAATGCACATTCCATCAGCAAACATTTAATCTGGAATAATATAATAACAAGCCAACTGGCAATCAAGTGACTTCGATTGCTTTAATAAAGATAAACCATCTTTTTTTTGTTATTTAATTTATTGATTGTTAATTGATTTTTACTATTTATTTGTTTTTAAAGCCATCGGAAATAAATGACAAAACATTTTATGATCTCTGTATTGAATATTCGCCAAGCAACCACAAAAAATAAATATTGCTTTCATATTGTATCAATGGAATTATTTATTCAAAATTAAGACAAATATTCGAAAAATAAAAATCGCTTCAACATCATGAAAATATTAACACACATGCACAATGCCTGTTTTTTATTGTCCAGAAGGGACATTTGGGATATAAACACTATTTTCACAAAGGAACACAAGGCAGCTCTACTGCAAAGGTATATTTGAAATGGTATAAATGTAAAGTAAACCTGCCCAAAAGCCTAAGGTGATATCACCTTGAAATATTTGCACATATAACGGTCATTTCTAATTTCAGGTTCAATTTTTGTTTCCGCTTTTGAAACTAAAATAGATAACGAGTTCATATTAAATAAACTTTAGTTTGAGTATTTTTATGAATGTATTCTTATGCACAAAATTAAACTGACTAACTGTTACAGTGACAAAATGATCTATTAATGGAATGCAATCAACAAAGTTCGAATCGTTTGACATTCCATTCATATCATTAAAAAAAAAACGATTAATTTAATATATCGCGTGAATTTCTTCTTTATTCTAAAAGTGGTCTTGGCACTTTCGACGATTTCTTAGGAATCAGCCTCAAAGTAGACTGTTACATATATATATTTTTTTTATTTTTGTAATAATTTAATGTTTCGAACGGAAACACCAGCAATATTTGATAATGACCTGAAAATTCGTACAAATAGTGGATCCGAATTCCCCAACACGTTGTTGTTGTGGCATCATTTTTTCCAAATTGAGAGTATATATATCATTTTTATCAGCAATTTTTTTCGCATAATTATTTTGATAACAAGAAGAGCTATTTTAAATGTCAATTTCTATGGTTATGAAGAAAAAAATTCGTTGTTCGACGAAAAATGATGTGATTATACGAAAATACATTTGACCAAATGACACCTGCCGTCCGTGTGATGATGAATTGAGCTTTTTAGAAGTCATTTTAGCCAGTCAAGGAATATCAATTCGAATGTCATTCTTTTTTTCCTATATACATTGCACAACGATGTCAAGACGCTAGAAATGTCATTTAAACACATTCTTATCAGTATTAATAATAAGAAAAATGTGAATTTCTTTTGCTTTCAGTGTGTCGTTTGAGTGTGTGTAATTGTAAATGAAAATCATGAAATCATGGAACTGGTTACTGTATCCTCTCCTTCTTTTCTCCTCTCTCTCTCTCTCTCCTTCTCTGTGTGTGTCTCCATCCTTCTCTCTATGCATATTTGTTGTGGTTCATATGCCATTTCGTCATATTTCCATTGTATTTCTTTTTATGCAATCGATGTATCAGTTCTTTAGGTATGCGAAACATTCAATGACTGGTAAACATCGAAAGATGTCGTCAATAAGAATGAATAAAATTCTTGGCGCGCGCTTCTTTCCTTTTCATATTTGGTCGTGCGTCTTGTTTGGCCATTTCATAAGTAATAAAAAAAAATTCCGTAAAATTCTTTGGAATTTGGCGCTGTTATAAGGCTACTTCAGCAGCAGCAAAAAAAAATACATTGTCGTATTGAATCTGCTGAAAGAAGAATTCACTACAACTAAAGAAACAAATGTTCACATTTTTTATTCAGACGAAATTTAAAATGCACTAGATCAATGTGCTGGTGATATATTTAGCTGTTCGTAAACACATCAATGCAGATAACCTTTTGTGCTGAAAAAGCCAAGCAGCCATATTGCAAAGTACACATATATATTCTATTGGCAAATTTATGAAAACAAATGGGACGCAATAAGCCATATAAGACGTCGTTTGTATAAGTTATTTTTCTCTATGCTGAAGTTAGAATAAGTTGAAATACAATTGACAATCGAATGATGGCGATGAAATAATTTCAGGTTGTTGAACGCTTTCCGTCCAGAAATGACAACAAAAAATTGCTGTCAACAATAAAATAATATAAAGCTAAAAATAAACAAGTTGTGTGTGTGTGTGCGTGTGTGTACGTGTTTTTGTTTTGAACATTTATAGATTTCACACAGTTAGTGGTTAGAACTAATTATGAGTGTATCGCTTTCAAAATTGCACAATTTTCTTATCAATTGCGAATGAAAAAAATATTTGTTGCATTTTAATGAGACCCATAAACATGATCGAAATGAATGCAATTGTCGGTGGTTTTGATTCACAAAAGTTTTGATTAATTCAAATCGATCTGCGACGTCTATCTGCTTTTTATAGAGATGAAACTCTTGTGCACAAGACTAAGTCACAATCATGCGAAAGCATTACAAAAACCGAGACGAACATACACTGCACTGGGTTAGGTTAGGAACGAAGTATAAAAAACACACGTAGCACATAACATGAGAAGAAAGAAAGAGAGAAAGCAAGCGAAGACAAGGAATTTTTTTTGCAAAATAAATCCTATTTATGGTCATATCAATGCATCTTATATGAAACGCCTGCACGTTTAGCGCCAACAAGCATAATTATTTGGTTCAGGATATAACAGGTTTATAAACTTGAATCTCTCATGAATGCTGTGTGCGTTCGCATGTTTCTGCACACAAAAACCAATTCTTAGGCCAAGATATACGATTAAGGTATAAGAGCAACCTAGAGAGCAACTTTGCCTAAAATCGAACACAATCGTCAAGATTGTTTGTAGAGCAACAGCAACAACAGCAAATTAATGAAAACATTATGAAGCAACACGAACTTTGTGTAATCGACAACAATAACAAAATTCGAAAAATAAGAAGCAATTATGAAGTATTGTGCGCCGGCGCTCCAGACACCTGTTGAGCAAGAGTTGCTTAATCATTTTGCTTTAAAACGAAATTTTTTATCATGACTAAGCATAAAAGCATGAGTTGAAGTAAATTTCGAATGAAATTCAACTGTTTCGCCCAAATTTTCAATAAAATGTCAGGTAATTTAAAATTGAACATTTATTTAATGGAAGTTATTTTGAAAAAGTTCGTTAGGCATATCAACAGGTTAACGTCTTATTTGCAACAATTAAATCGAATAATTTGCTAAATTGTTAAGAAAAGGCTTATATAAAACTCAGTTTTGAAAAATGGTTCGTTTATCTTTTTGAAAAAGGACGAATTCAGTGATTTCTTTTTTGAACGTGATGTCGCTGCAACTAAAAAAATTGTTTATTATTCCGTTTTTATTTTGTAAAGAAAACAAGACTAAATTACAAATAAAAGAAGTATCCCATTTTTGTCGTTGTTTGGCGTCTGGTCGATCAGTGCTAATTGAACCTAATCTTGAGAATGATCATGCATGAGAAGAGAAGTCAAAAATAAAAGACAAAATGTAGAGCAGAAAAAAGCACCAAAAGGTAGACCTGGAAAAGATATCGCTTTATACGATTTTTTTTAATCAATGTTGAGTGGCTACTGCCGGCATCTATTTCATCGCTTTGATTGTACATGTCTTATACAATTTTAAATATAAATTTAAGGTTTCTTGTGATCATAAATTATTGATGATTATATTGTTGTGTTTTTATAACTAGAAAAGAGTATGCGCCAAAGGGATCAACAGATCTGAAGTCGCAAGGAGTACATAAATGAATGGAATGCAAGAAAAATAATCGATTTAAATCGTTAAATATTCATGTGTGAACGATATTTTAAAATGATCATTTATCATCGCATTTTTTTCTGTATCATCTCACACATTGGTATAATAGTAGGATCAATAATTCGGTTCTATCGATGATATTGTTGATGTGAAAACTTCATATTCGGTTGTGTTATCACCCAATTTGCATATTTTGGCGCACACAAACAAATGAATTCAACAACCAGCAAAGGTTAATAAAGGTTTACTAATTTGACAATATTAAAAAGCTAATAGCCGATAACATAGTAATCATTACCTCAATGCGGAACAAGAAAGAAAAAAAAAAAACAGTATCATATGTGGAATCACTGGAATTTGTGTGGTGTGTACACGTTCATTCGTTCGTTAGGTCGCAAACACGTCAATCGAAAATTCGAGACAATGAAAACCTGAACACACACACATACCCACATAGAAACAATAGTCCAAACAATTATAAAACAAACAACGCACATCAAATTCAACGAGTTTATTATTTGCCCATGATTTATGGGCACTGCTCGACTATATTTTGAGTGGTAAAATAGATCAATTTTTGGGAGGCTCTTTGAGATAAGAATCGTTATCATTATGTGTTGCTAAGGTTCAAGAGTTTTAACATATGTGTGCGTCAGATTGTTAAGATTGTTTATCATTCTGTTTTTTGGTTGATACATTGCAGCTTTCGCATCAGTCTAGATTTGTCATTGATGGCATATTCAACGTCTTTTATTTACATCTTAATGTCGCCGAAATTTATCTAAGGCGCGTTTTGACACCGTTTAGCCGAGAATCTTCAATATCGTGTGACTTATTGTGTATCTCTTTTGAGTCGGACGTCAATTCTTTTCTTTTCTGGTAAGTTCCAAAATACACCAAAATCCCAATATTTGAGCTCTTTTTTTTGCCGAAAAATCGATCATACATGATTTCTATTTTGTTTCTTTACCAAATGAATTTTAATCTTAAATAAAAAAAATGGTCACGTGGTTTTAAAATTAGGAATTTCAATTACAAATGAAAAAAAGCAGCCACGTGAAAATGGTGATTAGAAACGTGTGACCTTTGCCAGTGTAGTTTTCCATAATCGTATTTCCAATAGGAGAACGTAACGTATTCAATGTTAATGGAAATGTTGTTGTCACTGTGATTATCATCAGCAACAAAATTCCGTTCGATATTTCGGACGCTGTTTATTTGATCTGCAATGGAAAATAATGATTAATTTTGAGAAAAATTTTCATTTGTGTTTGAAACTGGTTTCCGTGATAAGTTTGATTTCTTCCCAAAAAGTCGGTTTCGCCTGGCGGCTTGTCTATTTTTTCCATACAAAACCGAGAGAAAGACGAAACAAAAAGTGTAAATAACACCCGATTACGTATGCAAACAAATGTAAAAATCAATGAAGATAATGCGTCCACGACGTATTAATTATTTTTCTTCTTGGTTTCGGTTTGATTCGTCCGTTTCGTTCTTCATTCTCAATTTCATAGTATTGTTTATGCAATGATAAAGCAATTACTTGTTGCGCGCTGATTTGAGGTACAAATTGTACAAATGTAGGTATTTCATGAAGACATTGATCGTGGCGGTGAATGAGGATTGATCGTTCCAATATGTGATTGATTCTGTGTATTTGGAAATTCGCAAGAAAAATACGAACAATGTTGGTGTGTTTTTTCATCTTCAGTATTTGATACTAACACAAAAACTCTATCTGCAAGACAAAGATGAAAAAATAAATAAATAAATGATGATATTTGAACCACGAGGTATGGGAAAATTACAATTTTTCGCCGCGGTGTTTAGTTTACGCACAAAACTAACACCAAAAATGAGTGTTTGTGTGTGTGTGTGTGTGTGTGTGTCGGTTGCCGTAGTATTGTTATTGTTTAAAGATTATAAATGAACGAAAGACGCGTTTTCGGCATGCACACACATGTGCGCAATTCTCATACTCTGTGCCTCGTGAAATGTGTGACTTTTACGATTAGCAGTGTCCGTAACATGTGTACATCAGCCAAGCCTTATGTGTTTGTCGTTTGTTGTATGTGCGCAAACACACACATACAGTGAAACCTCCCACAATTGAACGAATAATCCTCTCAGCTCAGAGGATTCGGCTTACGATCAACTCTCATTGTTTGTGTAAAACATTTAATCATAAAAAAAACTCCATATTTCATTCGTCCATTCATTAATAGCACTGATCAAAAGCGTTGGCCGCTCTTTTGTCTGAAATTTTGGTGGTAAAATGCAATTTTTCACACTTGTTTGCTGTCTATTGTCCGAATTTCTTCTTTTCACTCGAAATTCTCTTCCTTTTTGTTCGCTCTTTTCTCGCAACGAACAAAATAAGAGATGAAGAAAAGGACGGAAAAAATAAAATTAAAAAAAAAAAAAAAATAATAATGTGAATGGATCCAGTTGAACCGTGGGATTCGGACAAAAACGGACAGATCGGGACTGGCATTTCACTGGCTAACACTGTAACACACACCGTATTCCGTTCTCTGTCTTTCTCATTCTCTTTTTCAATCGACCGAACCCATGTCTTGCTTTGCCGTTTACATTATTACAAAGAGTTCGTGTTCGCTGAGCGTTATATCTGTATCGTTTCAGTTATGTTTCAACATTCATGCGAATAAGTTCAACAAGCTTCGAAAAACACATTGAGAGCGACATACATCGAGAGTTTAAAAAAAAAGAACCGACACGACACAGCTCGCACCATACAAATACAACACGCATTTCATTTCTTTTCTTTTTCTTGCCGTCTCCTTCATCTGTTGCTTCGTTTTCGAAGACACATACATGTAATTTTCAACTGTTTTCATATAAAGTATTATTTTTTTTTTCGGTATATTTTTGTAATTTTAAACCTTTTCAATTCTGTATACACATGGAGAAGAAGAGTCTATATTCTAATTTGGCTACAAAGTTACGATTTGTTGATAATTTTGATTGTTTGCGGTTTGTCACTGTATCGTTTACATTGAACGTGGAACTGCAATTTTTTTTCTTCTTTTTTTGAAAAGTTCTGTTTTAAAGTTTAAATTCCTTCAATTTATCGGTCCGAACGTAGAACGTATTTGCAGCACTCGATTTTTGTTTTTGTCGTGTGCAAAAGCACAAATTCATTACAATGATCAGTGATAACTCCATTGAACAATAATTGTGATCAAGATCAAGTTTAATTTGTGCAAAACATATGAGATGAATATTTAAATTCTAGTGATTAAGTGTGTTTATTGATTGTGTTTGCACAACGGTTTATCCAGAACTAAATCCAAGATTTAAAAAAAAATATATTACAAATTTGAATGAAATAATTGAGAAAGTATAACACAATAGCAGTGTATCAATGATAAATATTGGAAACACGTTAACAAAAACCGCATTTCGCTGGACTGATACCGATACACAGATACCAAATATCATAACAAAAACTGTGACGTGAATATTTTTCTAGATATTATTACTGTTGTTGTTTTTTTAGCCGATGCGTTTGTGAGTGTTAATATTTTTAAATAAAACACAATTTCAATTTAAAGAAGAAGAAAAACGCTCAACAGTTTTTTGCATTGCAGTTTATTCAAATGGCATTTGTTGCATAATTTATTTATTTATTTATTTATATTGTGTGTGATTATAACTGCGCAAGTAACTATTTTTGTTTCATCGAACATCGACGAAGAACTTAATCATTTTGCCAATATTCGGATGAATCGATTACGACTTAGGAGCAACATTTCGTTTTTTTCAACGATACGAAATAAAAGAAACATATCGCTTATCTCAAATAGTGGCATAGTTTCTGATCGAATTAAATTGAAAATAACGTGATCGGCAAATGGTTGACTCTGGACAATTAAATTTTTTTGAACATTCCTGTGTTCAAAATTCCTGGCTTTGGGAGCCAACTGTGATTGAAATTATTAAAAGTTGATTTGTTTGATTTTTCAGTCAATTCCAGTAAAATTTGTAGAAAAATATAGCTCAAATCAACTTCAACCACAGTTGGCTATAGCCTTCTAACGTCCTGAAATAACCATCTATTTAAAATCGGCTTTAGTCAATTTGTTAAATGGAAACAGTTATCAAAATTCATATTCAATTGATTTCAGCTAACCAGTTAGTCACTTCTGTATTTAGTTCAAAAACCCACTTTGACAATTGTAAAATCATTATATCAAGGGATGAGATTGGAAATAATCTGCTCTTAGTGTTTTGATGGTGATTCACCACGGACGAAAGGAAGTAAGTTTATCAAAGGGCACGACAGCCTACCAAAGTGACGCAATACCAAATTGGTATTACAGAGTAACCTGCCAATAACGGAATCCGGATGCACCAAAAAATGTTCCGTTATTCGAAGTATTTCCGCTATTCGAAGATTCTCGGCTAACTAAGAACATTTTTCCGCTATTTGGGTTCATTCAAATTTTCAAAATTTAATTTTTCGCTCAGAAAACTCTAGCAACCGGTTTTTTTTGTTCCACTCGAAAAAAAAAAAATGTTCACAGGGGGAGAATTTGGGTAAAAAAAATCCCAAAAAACATCGAAATTTTTTTACCTATCTCGCACAAAATTGAAGAGCAAGAAATTTGTGGAAAAACTCCATTTCTTTTTCGCTATTCTTGGTAAGCGATTTCCTCCATTCAGAGTTCATTTTGTATGGAAGACCCTCAACGGCAGAAAAAAATTTCTGCAATTCGCAGGATTTCCGCTATTTATAGGTTCCGTTATTGACAGGTTATTCTGTACACACATATATTTTTGCATCACTTACCTGAAGCGCTCAGCATTCTTGTGAGGAGCGGCTCCTGAGTTTATATTAGTACACAGCTTCCTTACGGATTGGCGATTTGAATATCACCTCGATGCAATTATATTCTCGTCAAAATACAGTGAATCTAATTTTTTTGATAGACAAAATAACAAGCAAAGTAAGCAGAGAAACTCTCCACTAACATAGGATTCATATAAGAATGGCGTGTGAGTGGAGTGTGTCATGCAAAGTTTTGTCTACCAAAAATATTAGATTCACTGTATCTCGAAATACTAGAAAAAATACTTGATCTAGGTAAAAAACAGACTTTCCCAGAAGTAAAAGAGGTGACGCAATATTAACATTTTGTATGTATCTGAATGTAAGCGTCATTGGCGTATTGCGTCACATTGAGAACTTCCAAAGAAGTAAAAACTCAACAAAGGTTAGCTTCTGTATGTATGCGTCTAATTTGTTCATCATCAATTTGGAATTTTTCATTGAGTCAGTCTTCTTTTGTTGCTTATCATTGGTAAATCATTTATATGATAATTTGAGCGGTGTGCCAATGTGAAACTTCTTGATTTCTTGCCATTTCAGTCCGAGTGAATCACATAATTTCCACTTCAAAACTGATTAAAATTTGAATGATATCGATAAATATTTCAAATTTGGATACAATGCTAATTGATCCATTAGTTTTAAATTCTCCAAACATCCGCATATATTAGATAGGTACTAAAAAAATCCACTTCTATATCTAATTTTGATTTACTTTTTTTTACATTGAATCGTCGATGTCAAAAGTGAACGAATTCGCCAAATTATTTTTTAAAAATAGTAACTTAGTTAGAATGATCATCACAAAATAGTGATTCAACGAAAATGCATTCAATGATGTGTGAATATTCACATTGTTGTCATATGGCAACAAAATCGTATTATGCAATAAAGTTGATTTTATAAAACCTTATAACCGAAAAATTATGAAAACAGGTTCATTTTCAGTGAAAAAAATCATCATAAATAAAATAAAGCGACAACTAGATACCAAATATTGTGAGAAATATACGCCTTTTCGACATTCGCACATGTGGTATATGTTTATCTTCTATAAGAAAAAACATATCATACGCACTTTATATGTGCGGCCAAAAGATGATTATGACTGTTTCGCCAATAAAAAGAAAAAAATATGAGAAATGTACTAATCACACAATTTGCTTGTGACGACACATGAATTTGGCCATATCATAATAATATCCAATATTTTAATCTGTATTTTACTATTTTTCTACGGTCTATAGTCGTGTTTCTAAGAAAATGCTAGTCGTGACGATCGTTTTTAAAAATTATTTCAACCTGCATTTTTACATGCAAACCACGATGAATTTGCCGCACGATTTTTGCCGCTATCAAGTTTATTATCATTCTTTGATGCCCTTTTATGTGATCTTGACTCAAGATTCTTGAGTATTCGTTTGATCGATTATATCACTATTGTGATACACATTTTGATACACATTTTGATAATTAGCGAACTCAATTGTATGGGAAAATAAAACTTTGTAAACTGCGTCACACCAATCTTTGCGCAAGAAATGTAGCAAAAATTCGGAGGCATTTGAAATCTGTCTTGGATCTTCCAAGTTACGATGATCAGCAATTCGAATAAAAAAGAATTCTTCTAAAATGTGGGTTTTATGAATGAAAAATTGTCGCAAAAAAATAATTTATCGTCGGAATTCATTTCATTCGATTTCGAATCAGGTTACTTCTAGAGAAAAATTCTCTTGTTTTCTTCACTCTATACTTCACTGTCATTTTTTACTGTCATCCTCGCTGCAGGCAATGATTTCATTTTTACAAAATCGATTTTAGACTTTTATTTACTAATTAGAATCGATTCGTGAAAGTTAACCCGTCGACGTGATGTTCGTTGATTCAGCAATATTTGTGTATGCATTGTGGTGCTGTACATTTAAATCGATCGGTCGTGTGAACCGAAAACATACAAAAGCAATTAATAGCATCAGAGATCATTGAACTGCGCCAATGTTGACAACAAATTATAAATAAACAGAGTAACCGTCTGAGACCTGTGGTTTCTTTTCTTATGCATAAAATCACACATACACACAATTACCGCGGCTTCTTGTGTGTCGATTTTATTTTCTCATATTTCCGCTGTCATCGAGAATTTTTGCATAATGTTTCCGCTTGTTCATGATTTTTATTTAGTATTTTCATCAGTTATGTTCGTCTGGGCCGAATGGCCACAGATAAAATCCTATAAAGTTGTACAAACTGATTCGACATCAAAAAATTACAGATTTTTGCAAAAATTACATTTCTTCAGAGAAAAAAAAAATCGAGAATTGTTTAGTTTGTACATTGAGATCATGTAAAAAACATGAAAACATATGTGATGCGTCAAGTTTTGATGTTTAAAAATACTCATCGCATACACAAAATCGAATGCATCCGAAGCACATGTGCATTCATTCGGCTGAGATGTGAATTTGTAACATTTTTAGCACAATCAAATCTACAGTCTGTCATTGCATACATTCAATTAAAATGTCGATACAACAAATATCGAAATGTGTCAAATAATGGTGCTCCTAACGTTTTCACCAAATCGTTTTTATTGGCCGATAAAAAAAGCGCAACAATCTAAAAATAGTTTATTATTTGAATAGCAAATTTGTTTATACAGTGTGAGTGAATGTGTTATTTTTTGTGTATCGATTTGATGGGGCTTCGTTCAGTGCCTTCAGTACACCAAAATATTCCATTTATTAGAGATAGGAAGAAATTAAAGTTATACATTACCAAGTGTGCGATATCGCTGAGCATTAAACCAGAAGCCGGATGTTTAGAACGATAACGTTTATATCACAAACAGACAAAAATAATGTGCCGAAATTCGGTTGATAAAATCAAGCTCATTCACAACCATGAAGCCAGAGGTTTCCAATTTTATAATAAGATTTCATTTGATTCAAATATCAGATCGAGAGTGTTCTAATTCTTTTCTCTCTTCCACTCTCACTCAATTGCCTAATCTTTGATTTGTGTGCACAATATACCATTCCAAATCAGAAAAGAAAACAACATTTTTGTGAAATATTTTTATTTCGATAAAGCAGGACTCACTCACTCCACTCTATCGCTCACATCATAGTGTGAATAGTTAATGTGTATAGTCAAGTAAATAGTACCGTTTGCGGAATGATATCTGTATGAGAGACAAGTAGACAGACAGACAGAGAGAGAGAGAGAGAGAGAGAGAGATCGTCTCCGACCGGTAACACTGCAACATGTTTGATCTATTTTTAACAGAAACTTATCGAATTTAAATCGTAGATTTGACGCATTTGCGTACTAAACATCTAAAAATACGCAATCAAAATACACAGTTTTGACGATGACGCCGACGATTTGGCAACTATCTACAATCTCTCGCACTATTTTTTTTATAAATCGTCTGATTGAATTAAGTTGACTAAATTTGATCGGGAGATGAAATTTTCCACACGATTTACCATTGTCATTCACCTCACCTCATGATGGATTATCATTTCATTTTGGGTTGACAGACATTTATTGCACGTGCATGCTATGTGATTGTCTGGCACATGATTTTTGAATGAAAGTGGAGTAATTTTTATGACACACTGAAATGTGTTCGTTGACTCTGTTAGCGGCTGTTTCAACGATAAAATTGGCCGGCGATTTGCGTCACAAACACACACTTTTCAATCTCTCGTGATTACATACTTTTAAATGTAGTGTTAGTAATTTACTTGCGTACAGGAGGCTGCATTTCCAAAAATTGTCTAATAAAAAATCTCGATCACAAATGACTTCTTTTTTCTTTTAATCCAATGTGATAAGGAAAAATGTTATGGTTACAATAAAGGTCAATATTTAGATTTAAATAGACGTCATTCATATGCGTCATTTCAATCAGATTCTGCTGCATAAAAGATAATACGAAAATATTTGCCAAAATCTGGCTAAAACTCAGATATAATATCCATCCCATTTAAAATATCATTTTTGCATTCACTGAATGTTGTTTGTTTCAAAATTAAAGTTATTCTTCACAATATCCCGTTATCAGGCCATTGTTGCGCTCACATTGGCCTCAATCGGCCGAAAATCAAGACCAATTTCAAGTGTACTTGAATGCTAAAAAGAAGGAAAAAAAATGTGAATTGATCGCTGACAATGATCGTTGTTAAAATGATCACGTCCTCATATGAAGAATGTCGATGTTTCGATATCAATTATTCTATGCGTACGACTGAATAAAAAAAAAGATATTCTTTCGACGAAGAAAAGCGAATGCCATTGAAAAAAGAGCTGAAATGGGCTAAAATTATTTTGGTAATCGCAAACTTGTTAAAATTCATTCATTCAATGAGGGTTTTTTTCTCTGTCGAACAATACATTATTATTACATATATAATCTCTCTCTTTTATTATTATTTTTTATCATGTATTCGTTCCACACATGAAATGCATTGTGTACACGATGATAGATTGAAGAATGGCAGAGAAGTTGTATGTAATAATAAGCGCCCGGCGCCATTCACACATTTACTTCTGTAGATTCGTTCTTCCATATATTTTTCTTTAATGACCACACTCAAGAGCCACTCATACCATCGTTGTCTGTAGCACATTTTTGCACAATAAATTTTTAACACGTCCAATAATTCTTTTAATCATTTTTATATTTTTGTATGACTTTGAAATTGATTTGTATTTCTTTCTTCACTTTTTGACGTTTACTTTATACTTCCGTACGCAAACATTTGAAGAACATTTATTCACATAATTGAAACGTTTACACAATTTTTTTTTAATGAAATAATCCATCATATTGATAATATAAAAGAAAAAGAAAAGCGATTGTTGCTGGAACAATTTCATAAGCATTATTATTGAAGTAAAAACAAAGCAATATTATTGTCATATAAGATTGTTGAATTGAATAACATACAAAGGATAAGCACAAAATTGTGTGATTCACAATGACAAGATATTTCAAAAAGAATCATTTTGAATTATGATCGGATTAACCGGTCGTTTTACGTCGACTCACTTTTATTTTGTCGAAATATTGAAATTATCTTTATTAATTGCGTAATTGCCAATTTGCCAAATCTGAAGTAACCACAATGTTATGCGAGTGTTTTTTTGCTCTATTCACTCGAAAGCACAAAACATTCAAAAGGTTGTGGTTTGTCCAAGAAATTTAAAAGTGCGAAAGATGATTCAACTAAATACTGTTTTTTTTTTGCATAACAAAAACCACTAATATTTACCGTAACAATTTTGAAGTTCAAAATAATGGAATAAAAATAAACGTGCAAAGTGGTAGAGGTGACGAAAGAGGGAAGGCGAGTGATAGCTTGTTTTTTCTTTTTTTTAATTCCCCGTCGCTACCTTTATAACTGCGAATATTTCATGTTAAAAAAAAAAAAAAAAAAAAACAAATCGATATTGTGTGCGGTTTTTTCGTTTGTTTCTCTCATTGTTCGTTTCGCTAATAGAGTCTATTTTTGCATGGGCAATGCCCTCATTTTCACCACTCATCCGACGACATACCATATACGAACTAAAAGAAAGAAGCAAAAAAAATCACACATTTGGAAATCAATTTTCAATAGAGTTTAGCGACGAAGCAGTCCAATCGAAAACCGTAAAATTAAAAAAAAAAGATTTCTACAGTTTTTTCGCTACATTTTATCTATCGGGTTGTTTTTCTTACAATTGAAAAACAAAACTTTGTTATCACGAGATCATAAGTGTGTTTTTTCGAGGCTTTTTTTTTGCTAATCAAAAACAATTTGATTGATGTACGAATGCCATTCAAGAGATCAATCATTTTTCATTGAGTATATTATCTTTTGAAAATTTCGACCCACTTTTTCCAATGTTTTTTCTAGAGTTGACAACGTCTACATGAAAACGGAAATCATTTCTTTTTTTCGATATAATATTCGCTCGCATTATATGTAATGAAAACTTGATTTTCGTATTAGATTAAATGATTCGTTTACAAATATATAATTGAAAATGTTCATTTTGATCATTGAGCGTGATGTGTTATCATCTCGATTATAAAAAATGAGGAAATATGATGTATCATTTGATACGCACCAGACATTAAGTCCATTTTCCAATTTTTGCTCTTTTTTTTCTTCAAAAAAAGTAAGCGATCATTCTGTTTGATCTTATTAATGTATAGAACAATTACGTCACATTAAAAAAAACACACACACAAAAGCGTCATGTGCGTACAATGAGGAGTACGCCTTAATTTGAACCAAGTAACGAAATACTCATGTCGATATATATATATAATTTTACATCATCATGAGACGACCTGATAATAATCGTTCAAGATCGAAAATATTCTGCGTAAAAAAGGGAATCAAATTGAAATTAATTCAATTAGAATTTTACATTGAGCGAAACCCATCGTCAAAATAGCTAATACGTATTTTATGAACGATGTATATTTATTTCATGGTGGATGTCGAGCGATCGTCACGCGTACACACACATACTCATCACCATTGGCATTTAATGTAATATTACGTTATGGTGCGTAAAACTATTATAATTTGAATCTTTGAGATTAATATGAAATAAGTCATTTGAATGAATGAAAAAAAAGTGGCTGACTCAATACGCACGTGTTTCATGTTAATCTGGTTTCTTTTTTGTGTGTGTATTCGTGAACGACCTTTATGTTATGAACTTGTTCGCTCCTAATCTATCAAACAAATTGAATTTTCAATCAAAATTAAATTGGCAAAAAATCGATTTGCTTTCTTTTATTCAATCATCTGATGAGATGCAAGAAAGGCCATGCCAGTTGACAAATCATAAGTTGTATTCTCAGAATTGTATTTAATGTTTGATTTCTAAGTTTTTGGTCCATTGTTTTTGTCTTATTTTCGCTTTGTAACCTTTTGTCGCCTTAGTGTCAATACTTTTGTTCAGTCTCATTCATTAGCACGTTCTTCAGTATAAAAAAAATAACGCTGTGTGTAAAAGAAACGTACGCCAAAATTACATACATACAAAATCAAGAGCTCAGTGTGCCTACCGCAAATTCGATACGTTTTGTGCACAACAAAAAGAGTTTGATCGAAGAATCAGACATCCAAATGGTTACACATGGGTTTGGTTACACCATTTTTCTTGAAATTGTGCAGAAACGAAGAGAAGGCATACACAGACACAAAAAAACACGTGATTTTTCTTATTGTTGTTACTTAAGGCGAAAATTTGAAGAGAAAAAAAATCAGTCGAGATATGAAATGTGAACGATCACTGTTTCGCTGCATATTGTGGCCCACATGCATATTCCTGCACAAACATACTCTGTACCATATACTGCATGCATTCATTTCCTTTTGTTTATAAATCTCGAGTCATTTACACTCTTTCGTATGATCACTTCGAACGGTTACATCAATGAATGAACTGTCTCGGACAAACTATGAGAAATGTGTAACATGCAACATCTCTTTTACTTGTTCGCTTTTCCTCTCTATCCTCTTTTTCTATGCCTACGTGCATTTGCACCCATCGAAAATGAACGAACCAGTTTGAATTTTGCCGAAGTTGTAAAATGGAATTTTTTCCACATGGATATCACATTTTCCGTTCCTTCTCAGACTGATGTCGAGTGTTTTGTATACACACACATGTGTATACATGTGTTTACAGTTGAAATATTCTGGTTAGCTTACTGCTGTTTTGGACAAACACACTTTATGGCCAAAAGTAACGTGTGCGCACATTTACATATATAATATCCAATAATCCAACTTAAGAAGCATTTCAAAATTCCTGATCATCGAACATTCAACCTATCGAAATAGAAAACTAGTTACAAAATGTGACGACTGGTGGGGAAAAAAAAGAAATTGTTATATTCTGGTGATTCTTCTATTGTGTCACAGTTGATTGAAAACTATTCATATATATCAGTGAATGTATATCAGTGAATTTTACGTTCAGCGTTACTATGAAAATAATTCAAATATTTTTCGTAACATTTTTATTTTTAATTCCGAAATTATCGGCTGAAGTGAATCATTATGATTTCCTTTACAAAACAATTTATTCATCATTGATAGTGACTCACAAGATTGAAAATTTTAATGGTAAGAATTGTAATGAAATGACTCAATCAATGTTAATATAATTTATTCACTCAATTTTAGATATGGAATTTTGTCCAACAGTTCTGAAACCAACCACAGACACATTGCAAAAATCTATTGAAGCAATAATAAGAAATCCAGAGCAAAATACCAATTCAACCGAAAATGGGAACATAGATTCATGCTGTCGAACTCTTTATTTATGTGGTGTACAAAAGAAAACCAGTTTGAATGATACCAAAAAATCAAATATTCGCCACTGTGAATGTGAAAATGGCTTTCTTCGATGTTTAGAAAAACTGAACGATGAAGCAACACGTGAATTTGCATTACCCTATTCATTCGAGCAGTCAACGTGTGTTAAGGAAAGTTATCCAATTGTAAAATGTGTGAAATTTCATAAATTCTTTGAACCGAGAGCAATTTTTTATCGACCACCAAATGCAATCGAACAAGAAAGCCATTACATTCGATGTTTGGAATATGAATTTGATGAAAGCAAACCGAAAATTTATCAAAAATTTGATTTACCATACATTTTTAAAATTGGCAAATATGAACATTTCGAAGAGGCCGAAAGATTATTTACAAAATTTTCTACTGCACAATCTGACATTGCTGAATGTATCAAACATTCCACGGATCGTTGCATAAAAAGAACTTGATGTGGCTTTTGAAAAAATTTTTGAAACTCTGTATCCATTCATGTGAATACAGAGATTGCAAACAAAAAGATGTTAACCTGTTAAAGTTATAAGTGCATATTTTTTTAAATAATTAGGAATTCAGCATTGAATGTGGAACTCAACATTAAAACATTCTCTTTATTATTTTATTTGTTATACAAGATATACAATTGATGAAGAAATATTCGAATACTTAAATTTGTATCGTTATTATAATTAAATCTTTTGTTTGATTGAAAAATATTAAAATTTTATGGTGACGCTGAAAACATACAAAAAAATATCAAAATGAATGAAAAGATAAAATATTTTTAAAAACGTACCTTCTTAAATCACGCGAATCCATTCCTTTTTCCATATTCAGAAGCGCATTCCCCCACCGCTCCAAAGCCGAAGCTATTTCTGAAACAAGTAGCGACGTTATCTTGACTTGGCGTGCTATTTCGATCATACGTCTTATTGTAAAGTTTTTCTCATCCGTTTGATAATGACTTAATACCGTCCTCATGGAATCTGCGACATCCTTTGTTACGTAGTTCCTACCCATTTCATCTAAAAAAAAGATAAAGAATATTACTTGACAAGATTTCTTGATAAAGATTAAATCAAAATAGATTTTTAAAAATACCATCTACTGGCAGTCGAACGGTCATTTGCATATCTTTAAGTTTGCCATTAACGTCTTTTACAGGGGTTTCAGGCGTTACAATGTGGATTTGTTCATTTTGATTAGGTGTCGTCTGTGATACCACAATAATTGGTAAAAATGTGACAAGTATTATCATGAACATTTTGATATAGAACTAGCTTTTCTAAAAGAATACAATTACTTAAATACTAAAAGAGTACGTGTCCAAAGAATGAAATACACAACTGTATCACAAAAAAAATGAACGTGCTATTTACATTGCATAAAAAAGAATAAACGAAATTATTGACATTGCACAAATCAAAACATGAAAAACACTTATGTTTATGAATGTGGCGAATTTCGACATTACGACGTGTCCATAACATATGCAAAAAAAGTCATTTGATCAATGTTATCTCGAAATAATTGTGGAGCTTATCTTTTAGTCACTTTGATATTGGTTTTTATTCTCGATTCTTTTTTTATTCTTTTCTAGTTTTGTTGCTATTTTATCACAGACGATAAAACATGAAAGTTTTCCCATAACTATTAAAATGAATGTCTATAATTTAGTTCAATGTGGAGTCTCCTTTTCCATGTTTGAAAGATTTATATCGACATTATGCAGCACATCTAATTCAATGGGTTCATTGATTTCAATAAATTGGCTGCGTTTAATACAAAATTGATTACCATACAGTTTCCAGTTTACATATGAGTATCTCTGAGCGGTGCAATGTGAGTGTGTAAATGTGTTACGGCTGGAACAAAAATGTGCTAGCGGTGGCAAAAGTGTACTTACGCGTTCGTGCTCGACAGAACGGATAGCAAACTTTCAATCATTCTGAAGAAAACTCAATAATATTTTTTAAAAATATTCAACCTAATGACGCCTAATGAAGTAAATTTGAAAAATTAAAATTCCAATGCTTGCTATATTGTTTCTTTTTTGCATTATAGATCATTTTGCATTAAGGAGGCATAGGGTCTGCATTGGATTTAACAGAGGTTTAAGATAATTTTGCTTTAAGGAGTCAGATTTGGAGTCTACTTCTTTTCATTGGATTTCGTTGGTTTGTGACGACGATTCTTCCTCCTTAATGCAAAATGATCTTTAATATCGAAAAAAAAAAAAACAATATAGCAAGCATTGGAATACACTTGTACCACCGCTAGCACATTTCAGTTCCAGCCGTAACACATTTACACACTCACATTGCACCGCTCAGAGATACTCATACAAACACATGTAGTAAAAAGAAATATATTTTTGACTGACCCCTTAAAGAACGCACCTTTTAAATAATAAGAAATTTTTCCAATCCAATTCAAGAAATTTACACTTGTTTTTTTCACTGTTATTTTATCATAATAAATAAATATTTATCACACTCACAATAATAAATTAGAATTTTATCACTTTATTTCACAAACTCAAACATGGTTCATATCAAAGAACATTAATGTCGCATTTCATGAAATGTCAAAACATTACGAACAGTGTTACCAAAAGTATGTGACGGGCACGCAAATGTGGTGGCGCCACAAGTAAAAAAATGGTACAATGCACAGGTACGGAACTATTGGGAGACTTGGGGTGAATGGGCACGAAACGAATATCATTTCTAGGGTAATTTGGGATGCTGATTCCGAATTTCGAGGTTTCGAGTGAAAAAAGTCATGGGTGAAGGAGTTATGACCCCCGACCCCCCTGGGGGGTGGGGGGATTTGGAGGGCAGGGGTCATAGGAAATTTCTCTCGTCATTCTGAACAACTTTGTAATACATTATTTTTTGATCCGACCAAATTTTGATATGGTGGGGTACTCCCCTGCCCCCCCTAATTCGATTGGGCCCCCCTTATTTTCACAAATTTATTTTTTCGGCACATTACATCGATCTGTAAAGGTGAAATTGATAACTTTTTGTGACACTTCGATATGTTTACTAGTAAGAAGCGTGGATTAAACCCGCTTTTTCACACTACTCGCCTAACAATAAACGCATTATTTTTCTTCATTTTTGAAAGAGTTTACATTCTCTGTATGTGTATTTATTCAGCAATGTAATGTTACATTTTAAAAAAATGCAGTGATACAAACAAAAATGTTACACATAACATTTTGCGTGGTCAAAAAGGGCTTTGATAAACAAACCGTACTACGTATACATATTATCAATTTAAATGACGATGTTGTAAACTTAACCTTTTTCGATGTGTATTGTCGTCGGTGTCGTCGTCATCATCGTCATTTCGCTGCGACAACTTGAATGAACTCTTGTTCATTCCATACACAACATAAATACATCATTCAGCATATTGGTTGTGCGCATTTTTCATCGTGGAATTCATTAACATCATCATAATTTTTATATATTTCAAGTGTTCACTTCAGCAAATTGAATTGACCATTCGTCGTTGCGATCTATAATCAAATCGATACTGAATTGTACGCTTTGATTTCGTAATACATAATTGTCAACAAAACATTTGATTAAAAAAAAAACCAATGGAACAAAAACCGAAATACCAAGATAGATTGCTGAATGAGAAGAAAAAAAAATGACTCTATACTTGGCAGGCAATGAATGTGATTGTATTGATTAGTTTCAAGTTCATGGCAACAATAAGTTCACTACCGATTTTGAAAAGGGCTTTTAATTTAATAATATGTCAATATAAAATTCAAGCATAAGTTTTGCCTAGTTTCACTATCTTTGGACTTGTTTTGCATAAAAATTGGAATTTTTCTTGAAATTGTTTCGATTTTGAATGATAGTCAATAAATGTTTAATTTCGTTTTTTACAGAATTTCATTGTGGAATTTAATATAAAATGCCGCTTCAAGATCAAACTGTAGAAAGTCATCCGAATGGATCGATTGGTGCATCGGAGAAACTATTAAAAGTACCATCACAACAATTGAATGGGAAAATTATCGAGAAGAAAATTGAAGAAGAAGATGAAGAAGTTGTTACTGCCGATGTCGTTGTGCCAATTGACGGTGGTTGGGGATGGGTCGTTGTGGTTGCATCATTCCTTTGCTGCACTATAGTGGATGGTATAGTTATGAATATTCCATTATTTTATAAACATCTTCGGAACGATTTCCAAGTCACGGAGTCTGAGGTACGTTGGTATTAAACAAACTTATTTTTTTTTTTTGAATAATTTTTTTTTTTGAAATCGTACGATTCATAAAATATTTGCAAAATTATTTTCAAAATAGGTTGCGTTTGTTGGTTCATTTTTAAGTGGATTTTATTTGATTGCCGGTCCATTTGTGAGTGCGATGGCAAATCGTTGGGGCTTTCGGCCAATCACAATCCTTGGTTCAATTATTGCTTCGGCCGCATTTGCTCTTTCATATAAAGCAACTGGCATAGTATATTTGTATATTGTTTTGGGTGTGATTGGGGGAATTGGATTCAGTATGATGTACATTCCAGGTTGGTTGAAAAAACAAAAACAAAAACAAAATGAACATTTTCTAACGAACATCTATATTCTTTTCCATTGTAGCCGTAATTATAGTTGGTTTTTACTTTGAACGTTGGCGTGCACTTGCAACTGGTATTGCAATGTGTGGATCAGGTGTTGGTACTTTCCTCATGAAACCCATTGGTGACTATTTACTATCAAATGGTGATTGGCGTTCGGCATTATTAGGATTTGCAGTGATAATTTTACTGGGTGTTGCTTGCGGTGTGGTATTCAGACCGCTTGAATCGGTACACATTACACTCGATGAAAGTGATCAAATATCCGATGCAAAATCAATCGAAAAACCAACCTTACCGGTTGTATTTACAAAACCATTGGCCGAAGGACGTTATGCATTTTCTGTACCAAATAGTTCACATAACACTTGGATTGGAGCCAGCAGTAATACCCGTTATCCAACCGCTGCTGAAGTGTTTCGTGGCAGTACGGCCAATTTGGATCGACGCACATCAATTACACCATCGGCCACGCCAACAGTTACATTGGCCACAACACAATTGAATGCTGGCAATATTCATCATACAACGAAAAAATTAGAACAATTATCGAAAGCACAACAGAAACGCAGCGGAAATGCCACACCGACTGAAGAGATGGCACAAATTCCCGCCTTCAATTTACACAAAGAATTGAATACGGTCGGTGAGGTTGATGATGAAAACGAAAGCGAAGCGTTGCTTGATCAAGATGGTGCCAAACCACAATTAACAGCACGAAGACATACAGTATCGGGCCGTAGGCCAAACATTCAAGGCGTTGTCGCCACCAATGGAACGGCCAAGAAAGATAAACGTAATGCACATCAACATTTTGGCAGCAGCAATCGACCATTATATCGGGATGATATTTTCTTCAGCGGTTCATTAGTACGCATTCCTGGCTATCAATCGCAAACATCACTACAATATCATATGAATGTTACACGTCTGCCAACACAAAACGATGTCGATGAGGTGAGTTATTCTAACAGTTTAAATTATTATTCGAAATTAATATGGAAATTTTGATGTAATTAAATACAGGAGGAAAATGCAACATGCACAATGTGCCCAGAAGCCGTGCGTCGTACGTTGGCTACCATGTTGGACGTAAGTTTGTTGCTATCACCATCATTTATGTTGTTGGCCATCAGCGGTTTTCTATGCATGATGGGATTCTTTGTGCCCTTCATGTACGTTGAACAGAGAGCTATCGAGTTGAATGTGAGCAATAGTACTGCCAGTTTTCTAGTGCCTTCCATTGGTATTGCAAACACAGTTGCTCGTATTCTTTGTGGTTTTCTAAGTTCATTGGAAAATGTCGATGCAAATCTTCTCAGCAACATTGCCATCACCGTGGGCGGTGTATCTACAATTTTAAGCGGTCTTTTTGGCTCAGATTTTACTCAAATCATATACACAATCCTGTTCGGCTTCGCAATTGGTATGTTAAGAAAATTCATTTTTGCGATAAAAAAATGACCAAATGTTTGTTTCATCTCTCTCTTTTTTTGAATTTCAGCATGCTTTTCGGCGTTGCGTTCAATCATTGCTGTAGATTTGATGGGAATCGAAAAGTTATCAAACGCATTTGGAATTTTGATGATGTTCCAAGGATTGGCATCGGTTATTGGTACTCCCATTGCTGGATGTTTGTATCAGGCAACAAAAAGCTACGATTATGCATTCTACTTTGCTGGCGGTCTTATATTAATGTCGGCCATTCTTTGTTATCCAATTAAAATGGTAAATCGATGGGAAAAAAAACGTGGACAAGAAACATCTAAAGTTAGTCCAGCTGTGTAAATCATTGATGCACATGTGCTATCTTTTTTTATTCTTTTAAATTAGATAAAAAATGAGAAAGAAAATATTGAAATGTGCGTTTTAATATTGAAAATGTTTTGATGTATCGAAACAGTTTTTTTCCTCCTTTGCGTTTTAGCATGAGCCAGAAGAAAAATTTTAATTTTCGCACGTCAAAGTTAAAAAATTTCTTCACTTTTTGAAAACAAAAAAAATATATCTAAAGATAGAAATTGTAAATTAAAAATCAGACGTATGATTATGATGGATAGATAGTCTAATTGGATGCGTCTGCCGTATGAATTTACTGAATACATTTACTGTTTACATAGAAGATGTTTACAAACTAATATTATGAACAATAGAAATGATTGCTCTAGTGATTGTAACAATGGAAGTGTTGCTGTACGCAATAAATGTATACCACAGACGCATCCACATAGCCGCTATTCTCCAACTGCTATTTCCAGCAGCGAATATTTATTCAGCATAATCATACGTCCCGTAAAAATGCACGAGAAGAGAAAAACATGTTCAAAACATAAAACATATCGTTGACGGTTGTGCAACCTAGATCAAAAATGGAAAGAAGAAAAACGCATTCAATTTAACTAAAAGAATTCGAAGCGCCTAGTTAGAGAATATTAGATAAGACGAACCCTTTAAACTCTAGGAATAACTTCTTGAACTAAAAGACATACATCTAATCAGACTACCTTTTTATTGTAAATAAAAGAAATTTTTTTTTTGTTACGTAAATCAGTCTTAATCGATGATAAGATTGAAATATTTTATTTTATGAAGAGTTTTTCTTTTGAAAATTGTCCAGAATTCAAAGACAATTTTGTTTGCTAAACAGAATTCGTTTTTTATGGAGAAAATTAGGAAAAAGTTATCAACATCTTGTTGATATTTTGTTCATTGTACAAGCATTTACTTTCTTTACACAAGCGAAAAAAGATATACAATTTGATGCGAACTAGATTTTTTTGAGCAATAGGCTCTTCGGAGTACTTACTTTTTTCAGAGAAATTAATATTTAAAACCTGTGTATCAATAGACATGAAAATTAATTGAATAAAAAATTACGATTTTTCAGAAATTTGAGACATTTTATTTTGATTTTTTTTCCTTCAGAAAATTCATTAAGTTGCAAAGTTGGAAAGTTATTTTGATTTTGCCCAAAAAAAGAGTAATTAAACAAAATTTAAAGAAAAAACAGAAGCAATAGATCTACAAAAAATTTAAATAGTTTCTGTGAAATTTTTCATCAAGCATCGATTTAAAATCGAATGAGTAAAAAAGAGCGCAATTCATTTTTCGTTTTATATTCATCGAATTTAAAAAGATCCAAAATATCAGGACGTTGAATATAAATGCGAAATATTTCAGCCGCATTTTAATCGATTTTCTTTGCAAACATGACTGAACTGTCTTAAAATTGAACGCATAACTGCTGATTTGTTTGAAAAAAAAAACACCCGTTTTATAAATTGATTTGAAATTTCATTTGGTACAAATGCCGATCCGGAATCAATTGTGATGTGTTCCTACTGCCCGAACATGTAAAATAAAAAGAAAATGGAAAGAAAAACGTTCGACGCGATTCAACTTGGATGAGTTTAAATCAGAAAAGTCGAAAAGTAACTGTTTTTCTTTGTTTGTGCGTTATACGTTTGGTTTCATTTTTCATCATTATATTCCCGTATCGGTGTATTATTATTGTTATGATTTCAATATTGAGCAATGCGCATGTATATTGAGTTGAAGTGACTAAACTGAAATGAAAAATCTCGAAATCGTGAAAAGGTAAGTGTAACGGAACGAACGAAGAGTAAGTGAGATGAAATATTTGAATGAAATGTGAAAAACCTGCGCGCACATCAATCTATTTACACACACGCACACACTCCACCCGCATTAGTCTGTACGGGTTTTTCATTTTTCTCAATGAGCCATGGAAATTCGATTTCGATTCACATTTTCGTTCCGTGTATCAGAAAAGTCAGTTGAGTCTTCGTTGTGAACTCATTCAAAAGTATAAATTTTCAATTTCGGTTTCATTTCATTCTCAATCGATCGAAATGTTAAAATTGCAGTTTTTTCATCTTGTAAAAAACATCCATTGTTTAACGGACAGAATAAATTGTGAATCGTGCGATCGTTTGCATGGCAAAGTTTCATCATTTTTTTATCAAAATTAAAAATTTAAAGAACAAAAAAAAAATCAAATCAACAATTTAAAAGGGAACACGGACAAAAAAGGGAAGTGTACATTTTGATTAAAATGAAAATAAAACTAAAAAAAATGTCTAACATTACTAAATTTTACAATTTGATTAATTTTAAACGGAAACGTTTACTTCAAAGTCTGATCTTGATAAATGAATAATTTGCTTGGCTAAAGCAGTCTCTTGATATATTTGTTGTTTCTTATATTTCGTCGTAGCAAATTGAGAGATCGAATAGTAGAATGTGTGCTATGAGAATTTCATTTTCATGACTACGGGTGTTTCTTTTAACATTTTTATTTTAATTTTTGGTGTTGTATGCACGCAAAATAGCTCACAACATATGACCAATAATACTAATGTTTCCGAATATATTTGAATACATATGATATACATAGACGCTATAAATAATCAAAATGTGACACATAAACCAAAATAGAATTTTATAACAGATAAAGATGTTGAAACGAACAAAAAAAAACAGAAACTTTGTTCAAAAGTCAGAATCTGGCTAAACAATCGTTTGTTGTTATTGTACGTATTTTTTCTTATTTAGAATTTCGTGTGGTTTCATCGTACTGGCTTTCTTTTGCTACGCTCATTTGCTCGAATTTCATGACATGTCCAAAAAAAAACAATTTTTTTTTGTTTCAGCATGTGTGTAAGTGATATTCTGTTAACGTTCACTTCTGGTTAAAAATTAAGGCGAGGCAGTGAGCGCGCAATGGAAATTCCAAAATTAATTCGCTTTACATATACCACTGAAATATGTTGACAGTCACTTGGACAATTGCCAACTAATTTGGCTCAGCTTGTGCTCAATTTCGAATTGTACCATTAAAAAAGAGTTTTTTTTTTTGAATAAACATCCACACAAAAAAGGCGATTTACAAACGTATGAAATAGAGAAACAATATCACATCAGGGCTATTATAACGATGTTGTTTTTTATGTGTGTTTTTGATTCGTTCGGTCTACGTTCGTTGGCTGCCTTGTAAACGATAAAAGTCACGATCACAAATCAGGCGAAACATTGGGCTTGAAAAAAAAGAAAGAATACACACGCGCACACGCTATGAAATGCGAGTTGTTGATCTAAATCTGATCTATGATCTATTGATTTGTCTTTTTCTGCTTACTGCCGGCTGTAATTGAGAGTATCGACAGCAAACTGAAAAAGGCTCATCGTAGAATTCATGCAATCATCGAGGATCTATTTTTTAAATATCGATCAACAATCGACGACGTCAACATCTTGGGTCCATGAAAATCATTGGCATATTTATTGGAATGCAAAAAATATCAATTTTGGCGAAATTAACTTGAGAGAGAGAGAAATAATAGCAATAGCATTTATTTTTTTTCTTTTGTGTTTTATTGATCATTAATTGCATTTTGTTAAACAGTCATACTCTTCATGGACAAACATTTCAACTAGTACACGCTACATTTTGTTCGTATTTTTTTTTTTTTTCAATTTATATGTTCAAAATTTGGATGTCAATAAAATATTTGGGAAACGGTACCGAAATGAAAACTTAATGATAATCATTTCAAATTTGCAATTCGGTTCGGGACCAAATTCCATCTGGCCCAAATTCCATGAATAAGTGGATTTTCATTACCATCAAACATGTGTTGTTTTCAAATACGTATACATATTATTTTTGTTCTACTTGAATTTACTCGGTTGCCAAAACGTGCTTGTGAATGATTACAAGTGCTTTAAAAGGTAATGTGCTTATGTTGTTGTTGTTTTTTTCTCTCAATTGTTTTCCATGTTTACTTCTTCCCCTTACCTTGAGAAGAAAAATAAAATGAAACGGGACTATCAATAGAATTTTCGCCCAACATTTTAAGGGATTGTCCATTTCTTACCATAATGCATTGATGTTTCGTATTTGGGTTTGTTTTTCGTTCACTAATTGCCGCGCAATAAGATGTATTCATGGCTAGCAGTTGTTGCATTAATGTCTTCCCTAAAAAACATCAAATAACGAATTGTTAATACCACTTGAAATTAATCTTTTGTTTTACATCTTAATTGTTTTTTTTTCTTCTGATTTTTTGTTTATAAGAGATAGGTATAGATATGTGTGTGTGTTACATACAAATGCTTGCGTTGCACATAGTACTCGATTCTGGGTAGTGGAAATCCATTGAAGGGGCTGGCAATTGGAATGGTGTATGCGCCCATATCTTCGAATATGATGAAATCATCGATGTTTAATCGCGGCAATGAAACATTTTCACAAACCTGTACACGAAATATAAAGAAAAAAAATTGAAAGAATAAGAATAAAACTGAATGAAGCGGTTGTGAATTAGCGAGCGGATATTTTCTAAAAAAAATTCTATGTGATACATAAAATATTTGAGCAGCAGTAATAGCATATAAAAAATAAGAAGAAGAAAAGAAAAATGATGAAGCAAAATAGCGTTTAAAACAATCTAAAAATATCGATTGATTTCGTGTTTACGCAAGAAGATCCGACTCTGCGATTGAGCTACCGAAACGATTGAGAAAAATGTAAACCAAACGTTCATTTATTGGGGCTCATATTTGGACGTGTTTTTTTTCTTCTCGTGCTTCATATATTTATATACATATATACTGTGTTCATCTTGTTCATCTCTTATTTCATGTGTGCTTTTTTTATATGTATATGTTGATGATGTATAATAAACTCATCAAATGAGAGGGGAGCGAGCTGTTGCAGTTCAAGATTTGTTTATATCCTGAGATAGCAAATGAGAATTTTCAAGCTTTACCGGTTCAAATTGTAAGTAATTCTAAATCAACAATAAAATGATTTACTTTATTAGCTCTCGCATATTTATATTACGTATATTTAAAAAAAGGCGCGCGTGTGCTTGCGTCTGGGTGTGTGGAAATACAAGCGCGCACATTGTGTGCACACCGGAAAACTATGAGTTTCTCTCAGAGCAAAAAAAAATGAAATATCCGAAGATCGACGGCATCGGAGAATCGTAACAAACGAAAACACGCACCAAACACAAAACAGCCAACACCATGCCAGTTGCATCTCTCTATTAATAAACCTCCGTTTTTCAACACAATCCCAGCTCTTTGTTTATAAACATTTTTCGCGCATCTCTGACTATTCTTCATCGTTTGTATTTTTTTCTTCTCGGTTGTTTCTTTTTCTCTGCTTTGCAGCATTCAAGGAGCTCGACAGAGACGAAAAATGAATGCAACACATGAATGCAGAGAAAAAATATAGGAAAAGTATTCAGAGAAGAAAAAAACTGGTGTTTCTAACCAAAGCAATACTGATTGCAATCATCTGAAACTAATTTTCAAAGTAATTCATGTTAGGTCAAGCAATTGAAAATTCCATTGGGTAAATACTTCGTTTTGTTTCCTTTTTAAAAGTCTTTTTGATCACCAAATCAATTTACGGCAGAGCAAATATAAACGAAGAGTGAAAAGGAGCGAATAGCGAGCTCGTGAAAAAAAACTATCCTATTTTCATATCGTGTGATGTTGGTAAAAACATATAAGTGACCCGCATACTTTCGAACGTAAATCAATATTTAGATGAGAAAAAAAGTGGGAATGAGAGAATAACAACAACAAATCTAATATTGTGCTAATGTTGCTGGAATGTTATTCTCAGAATAGTTCGTTGCGATGGGATTCATACTGTTTGCGCGCATGCGATATTACTAATCATCATCACTCTTTCTCTCCGTAATGTATTTATGTTAAAACGAAAACATATTATGAATCGTGTCAAGGAAAAAAAAAATACTTTTATGGGTTTGTTTTGTTAACGGCTCATTTCACTCCTCTCTCTCCATTTCAATTTTCAATATTATGACGAACATAAAGAATGTGGAATGCAGCCAATCATAGCTATTGGAATCGATTGAGATTTCATTACCTGATCAAGAGCATCGCATGTTGGACCCCAAATTGAACTTTTAAACAACTCCTCGTCGGCAGATTTCAAAGTAGTTGGATGCACAATTTTATGATCGTACAAATTGCAATTAAATGATCCATATACACCGTCATTGATGTAATACATCACAGAGTCGAATTTGCCGTTTTGACGAACCACACGCTTCGAGTGAACCTGACAAGCAAGTGTATAAGCAGACGATACATAAAATCGACCTGGTTCAGCGATAATGGTTACATCTGGTGATGGGAAAAGTAAATCAACATTGTGATTGACAATCGATGCAATCTGAAAGAAGGAAATCCGTTTTTGGATTAATATCATTTTTAGGACTCTGTAAGCAAAGAGCGAAGAAATAAGGAAATTTACGGGTGGCTCGTACCTCTTTGATGTCAGTGTCCCTATCACCTGGAAAGCCTCCGCCTATATCCAACAATGTGAAATTATAGCCAATAATTTTCGCAAAGTCGAATAATTTGCGGGATGCTTGAATTGCCTTTGCATACGCAGATGGGTCCATACAACCAGATCCTTGAGAAGAAAATAATAAAACGACATGATTATCAACTATTTCACAAGAAGGTAAATAGGCCGATTTTTCTTACCAACATGGAAGCTTATTCCAATCATCTGCAATGAAAATAAAATTGAAAAAACAAATATTTATTATTAAAAAAGAGTAAATTATTATAAAATCACATTCTTCTAAAACAAAGCGAAAAAAACTTGAAACTCTACATATCTTCGACGAAGTTTTTCTCAAGACTCTTTTGATTACATTAATATACTGATTGATTTAATGACTTCTGGCGTATTGTATTCAAATTCAAATAGCAACAAGAACAACTCAAAAATTTAAACGAGAGGCCAACTTATTTATAGATTATTCAAAGTAATTTCTCATTAAACATATTAAGTTTGAAAACAACAAAAAATTACGAAGAAAAAATCCATTTGTTAAATTGATTACTAAGAATTTACTATCAAAGAAATAAAAAAAAAACACAAATGCCACTTACATTTAATCCCAACGATTTAGCCAATTCAATGAGATCTTTCCCGTCAGTATCCGGATTGCAGCCGTATTTTTCACCAAGTGGACATTGAGCAACCTTAGCATCACAACGAATCCGTAGAACCAAACTGCCAATGAATTATGAGTCAATTGCTAAATCACCCATGAAGCTAACATAAAAAAAATGCCACTTACTTTGCATGTGGATAGTGTGCTTTGATTTTGTGTAGTTCAAAATCACTATCAACTGTCATAACGCTGACATTCATTTCAGCCGCATATTCGAGATGCGATTTCGGTTTGGTTGGATTGGCATAGATAATCGATTGTGGTGCCACTCCAAAACTCATGACTTTTGCAATTTCTCCCTTCGATGCACAATCAAAACCGGTTCCCAAGCTAGCCAAAGTCTGGATCACGATAGGGCTATCATTGCATTTCACAGCTGCATGGAAATTATTTATTTAAAAAAAAAAGATATGCGCATTTAATTTACAATGCAAACAGTTATTGATTAATCATTTGAAATAGATTTCATCATCATCGTCAATTGGTTTTAACCGCTTTGAGAAAACGTACGATTTTTATTTACAACAATTTTTTTCCATCAACGTTTTCGAAACTTTATCGCGCCAATCATCGAGTCATTGATCACACTGACACTCAATGATATCAGTTGAATGTATGATTCATATAATTAATGAAGCATGTGATCTGTTTTTTGTTTTTGTTTCTTTCATTTGTAGTGCGTAAAATTTTGTGTGTTTGAATCAAATTGCAAATATTTTCTCATGGTTAAAATAAATTCGATACCCAACGAACAAATATGTAACGTTTTTAGGACATTTTAACGTTAAAAAATGTAACGCTTTAACCCATTTTTGTGGCAATTTTCGTGTCAAATGGAAGGTAGAATATAGGCATAATGTGAACCACTTTTTCGGCTTTTTCGTGTTGCGATACACAACAACATCTTCTGTGTGTTTCGATTGTTTCTCTTTTTGTTATTATATTCTAAGAAACTGTAGCGGCAATACAATGTAAACAAATGTAAATAACATAAACTCGTTGAGTTCATAATATCGTATTCATACGATTGATTTTAAGCAAATGAAATTTGAAAAACAAACCGGAAAAAAAAGAGGATGAAAATACAAATCTTACTCTCTTCTCTCTGTGTGTGTTTCGATTGTGCATGAATAAAAAAAAACATTGCGTAGGAATTTCAAGTGACAGTGAAATACATTTATAAATGTACCTTTTTTTTAGATTTGTTTGATTTGATTTTAGTTTCAGAAACATGTTTGAATGTGTACGACATTTGACAGTTGGTAGCTGTGTGTATTGGTGTGTATCATATCGAAGCCGATTTTTCTGATTACACTCAAAATGTGCTTCGTAAACATTGCATCGTATCAATTAATTTCTTTGAACAATGTATGAAATTATAATTCCGGCACCGAACTAAATAGGGATTTTTTCGCATCAAAATATTTTGAAGTTATTGTTAAGAATAAGGTAAGTAATTATGGTTAAGTTGCCATTGTGTTGAAAAAAAAAAACAAAATTCAGTGATTAATAAATGGAATTCTTGTACATGAGATTCATTTTTTGTTTATCGTCATTTTAGCAACGGTTTGGTGTGTTTGGAACGTAACTGTAGAAGTCACTCGATGTCAAATGGAAAGATTCACAGTCCGTTTTGTGACAGTCTTTGTTTTCATTTCAAAATAAAAAAAAACATTTTCATCGTTTTAATCAGGACACAGCGTTATATAGTATAAGAAGTTATTCATTTGAATTGTGATATGAGTGTGTTCTCATTTTTTTGTTTGTAACAAATTGTGCTTTGCTTGTAAAAGGAATTCTTGAGAATTATGTGTGAGTGTTTATATTAGAGTATGAAACAATTTGTTTGTCGTCATTTTTGGCTAACATTTGTTCCAATGATTTTGTTTGTTCGATGTTAAACGGATAAATTCACTGTTGGTTTTGAGATTGTCTCTGTTGTTATTTCAAAATAAGAAAGCATTCATAAAATTGACGGTGAATATTCCAACAAAATTTTCATCTGCGGAATATTGGAAAACATTTCATCAGAAAACATTTGAATCAGAATACAGAGTGACATCGTTGAGGTAAGAAGTGATTAATTTGATTTGTGATATAAGTGATTGTCATTTAAATTGTGATCTCATTTTATTCGTAATCTATGCTTTTTTTGTTGCATTTTTTATCTAAATTTGTGTCTATTTTTTATTTTCGAATAATTTGATCAGTTTTTTGAGAATGAACAGAAAAAGACATGGATGACGACGAGCTCGATGATAATCAACCAGAAGAAAGCAAATACGTTGTAATAAAATGTGGACTTCAAACAATCCTGCGACAACAACATGAACGGATTGAAAGAGTTGGAGAAGTTGTGACCAAAATGCTATTCGAGCGCAGTGTTCAAATGACAGAAGTGGCAGCATTGGCATCACTTTCTATTCTTTTTATTTTGAATGAAGCACTTGATAATGACGATCGTGCATTTTTTTTTGAAACCACATCCAAGCCTGTTCATTGCCGATTGTTTCAGAGCGGTATTAAACCAACACGTTAACAATATCAGAAGTCAATATCGGATATTGCCCGAGTTTCGTTTCATGGTAGAAAGAAACAGTGAAGAACAGTTCCGATGGCCAGATGATGAAAAGTTGGGAAATGGTTTGAGATATTTTTATAAACAATATATCACAAACATTCAAACCAATACCAACACATGGTGTGAAAAACGACTTGAGAATTTTTTTCGAATGCGTTGTTGGTATCGCAATCGATTCCACAATGGCTCAAGATTTGATAACATCGACATCAGAAATGCCAAAGAGTTTTCATATCGATTTAAGAATTTAACAAATGGTAATAATGGTAATAATGTGGATCCACAACGCGTTGAAAAATTCAATATTTTAATGAGAGATTTGACTGAAATTGGATGGTCGGGAACAGTGAGTATGAAATTTTTCGCAAAATATCGTTGGTTTGAATCACTGTGGTTGTTCGGTCAAATGCAACGGCAAATAGAAGTGTATCACAGTCATGCCGAACAATGGCATACCATTCATGAAATGTTTCGTAACAATCCGAACTTTCAAGAGCCAACAATCAATCGACCACCAAAAATAAGCAGTTTTGCTCTTATACCATTATGCGACTACCATTTGAAAAACGTGCGATTGGACATTAAGGACTTGTATAATAAAATTGTAAACGAGCTTGATTTGGTGCCTTCTTTTCTCAATACGCGGACCAACCGGATGAATAAGAGAAATTTAAAGTACTACACCCAAACTGATCGATCAGGTCTATGGAATATGTTGTTCGATGTCGGTAAAATAAATAAATTGGGCAAATCGAAATCATTCCATCATCAGATTTTGACCGATAGTGTTTCAATATCCATAATGTACAAGAAACCACAGCGACAACAACGACCACAGCGACAACAACGACCACAGCGACAACAACGACCACAGCAAACAACCCAAGCGAATCGGGGGCCGGAAAAACTCATTGGCAAGAAATACATCATTGGAATCGATCCGAATGAAAAATCGTGGTTATCTGTAGTGCGTCGCAACATTCAAAAAACACCTGATGAGCCGGCTGTTGAGGTAAGATATTTTGAAATGTAATTTGAAATGGTTTTGAATAGAAAGTCATAGTTTTTTGTATCATTTTGCATTTTGAAGGAAAACATTATAATACCAAACCAGCGTTTTCATTGGGAAACTCAGCAGAAAAAACGAGACAAAGAAGCGAAAAAGTTGGCTGGATGGTTTGATATCGAAGAGAAGGAACATCTCAAAACATACCCATATCGTCCACCATCACCACGTAATTCAACATGGAAATCATACATTGAATATCGCATTAAAATGTTACGAAAAGGAATGGCAGCTTATGCGACGCGTGAATATGCACGACTGGATTTAGACCATCACATTCGCTCGACCGGAGTAAATGATCAAATCGCCGTGCGTGTGACAAACAAAAAGCCGTCGTTGATTCAATTTGGTGCTTGGGCGATGAAACCCGATCGACCGTTTGGAATAAAAAAGCGTAAAAGATGTCCGGGATCGCGTAAGTTTTGTGTGAGCATTAAGAAACTTGGACATTCAGAAGTTGAAATGCAAGATGAATGGGGAACATCACAAACATGCGCGAATTGTCAGGAACGCTTTCCAAGGCACACAAAAGATGATCGATTTAAAGTGTGCTACGATTGTAGAGCGAAAAAGATTGATGGCCTGCCAGATTCAGTCGCTGGACTGCCAGATATCATTGTGTCAACGGTCAACAGACATGTTTTGAGAAGAAAACGTGCAATTATTAAGCGACAAATTATCGATGGCAATCGTGAGGCTGTGAACGAAAAACTTCGGACTGGGCGTTTAATGTCAAAGGTTAAAGTTACCTACAAAAATTGGCCATTAAATGTTGATGATGATGATGTTGTTCCACAAACAGTTACTTGGCACCGAGATATTGTTGCAGCAAAATGCATTATGCTCAAAGGTATGAATCAATTGGAAACAAAATATTCATTATTTAATGAATTTGCTTTAAATTACATAGGACTTTGCCGGATCTTTGATGTACCATTGCCAGTTTCATTGTTAAGACCGCCGAACCAAAACAACAATGGCAACTAACAAACATCATCAATTAATCATACATTCAAAAAATTACATAAAATAAAATATTTTAACTATTATAGTTAGCTTAGCTAGACATGAACAGACTATATAAAGTCTTGTGGTCTAGTTGTACAATAGTACAACATTGTACGGAGGGGGAGTGCCCGTAGGTGAGTAAAGTTTTTAATTTAAAAAAAGTATTTTATACCCAGTTCAACTGATACTAATGGTTGTCTTTCCCTTTTTCCATGTTTTCACACCTGAATGTTCCACCATGCCAAACCTATGGAAATGACTGAAACTACACACGAATCTAACCCCGAAAACGACCGTCAATATGTGCTTCATAATGGATGCATTTGCCCTATCAATTGTTTGCTGGGTAGTGTGAAGTGTAAAATACAAAGTTCAAGATTTTGGATGACATACCATAAAATGGAAGGACTCGTGGCATGCGTTGCTTCCAAATGCTGTGCTTATTAATGATGTCGGAGATATCACAAATGTACAAAGGTTCATCGTTTATATCGCCAGATATTGATTGTTGGCGAATTACATCGATGGCATCGAGCGGTTCATCAATGACGTGAAAATTATTTGGTTCGATGGGTTTCATGATTTCCGTTTTGTGAAATAAAATATCGAATCGCCAACCTACTTTTAAGAGAGTCAATTTATGAAAAAAGAATAAAACAAAAAGATGAACAAATTGTTTGTGTATTTTCCAGTTTACAAATAGCAACTACAATAAAAAAAAATGATATTTTAATGGAGCGAGGGAAATGTTGGTTTAGCAATGATATGGATTTAGAGCATTAATCGTTTAATTAAATTCCAGACAGTTTTTAACAACAACAACAAAAACTTATTCGGCATTAAATAATTTTTGGCACATGTAAACACTTGAACTGGGTGGTCTTACGCTCAAGCGTGAAATGTGTTGTTTCGATGATCGTAAATTTCCAATTAAATTATGACATATGAAACATACTTACACTTCAAATAAAAACGATTGCAAAAAAAAAATATTGCTTGAAATTAATTCAAAAATTGAATAGAAGTATCGAATCAATTTATGCGATTTGGAAAAATGAAAAGCTTGCAACTTTTTGTAACAACGCACAACAACAACGAAATTATTATCACTGCATATATTACACACCAACTTTTCGACTCGAATTGAGTGTCCGTTTCAAACGACAAAATGCTACTGATCGATTCGTTGTTTGCCATTTTAATCGCTGCTGAACTATTGAATGAATTTTTTGTTACTTATCAGACGACAATTGTGTGTCCTATTATCGCTGCGAATATTCAAGCAGAAGAAAGACATACATACACATACTTAAATATTATTATTTGTAATATTCTGCTGCCAGAATCTCATTCTACTAACGGATCGTTTCTCACCTCTTTTCAAACGAAATACCCAACATTTGAATAATAAAATATGAAAAGACAATAGATTTCCAAATGAATACAAAGAACTTGAAGCTAATGACTTTCAGGTCCATAAAAGGGATGGTATATAGACTGTATGAAGCCAAAGATAAAGTCCAAAATTCAAAACATAGTGTGACAGAGCTAATAAACAGAGCATGAAAATTGATGTAATACGATATGAATATGAAAAAAAGAAAACAAACACGTATAAACAATTCGTCATAGTCAATGTACGATTAAAAAATAATGCATTAGTGTTCATTTTTTTTTTTTTGTATAAATACGAATTATATGAATAAGATTTTTTGTAGTAAACACTTTTAGTAGTTGTCAAGCACAGGCAAAATTAAATGAAACAGGTAAAAAAGAGGTATAAATTGATAAAACTAAACGTGTGAAGTGCTTGATAATTGATAATGAATTCAAGGCAACTACACACTTCAATTTTTCCAGGAATTTTTCTTCTCTTAAATAATTCTTTAGAAAAATCTAGAAGTAATAAAAATACACTCAAATATACAATACCGTCAAAAAGTTTGAATAAATTGAGCTCATTTAAATTAAGTGTTTTTAGAGTAAAATTTATGATATATCGCAAAAGATACACTTGAATATTTGCACATTGCTTGGGCTATGGATGAGGAGCGAACCAGTGAAGTCTTATACAGAAAAAAAATCACATTTTTCAAAAATAAATCCATTTGAATCTCAATTTTGATATAATTTCTGTCATTTTTCGTACATTCAAAATAATTGTATTTTTGAAATTTATTTTAATTTTTCCAAATTAGCACCTGATCATTATAAGTCATTTCGAAAATTCCCAGCAAATAACAATGAGGCGTTTGAGAATAATGGGTAGATGTGATACCTTTCGGTTGATCTATTTTTTAAAAAAATCCCCACTCAAGCACACCTGATAACAAATGTAAACGATCTGGCGAAAAGGATGCTTGAAATAAGAGATGGCGCTGAAGCATTTAAACTATTTGAATTAAAAAAAAAACTTTAAAATGAAAGAGATGAATTCGATTTTAAAAAAACTCGTTACAATCATATCAATTTAAATCTATGAACGGCATAATTTTGGTTGGTTCCTCTACTGCGCATGGTCAATTAAAACTCTTTCATTCATAAGTAAATGAAAGTAAATAAATATATTTATTGTTGTCACGAACACGTTTCTGTGGTGTATTCTCTGTTTCGACAAAATTGTGCGGCCATAAAATTAAAATGATTAAAGACGATGTAAGTATTTCAGCATTTTGAACATAAATTGAGCAGTCAAATCCAGAAATGAATTAGTAATGTTAACTTATTTCCAGATATGCATACTTCATATAATTGATTGTGGGATTCCAATTTCAATGTTTCTCGTTCTTCTGTGTAAACATGGCTCTGATACCCTCAATGCCGATATTCGCATTTATGTTTCGATTATCTCGGCGATACTGATGTGCATGGCTTTGATAAGACTGTTGTTTTCTCCAGTATGGAACATTTTCTTATCTTGCATTTGCACTGTATATTCGAATACACTGTTTATTTTTACATTTTTTCTTCTTTTTACATAGGAGAGTCGTATCCATATTAAATATTTACCAGCCAGATATCCCGAACGCATTTTTCGTACTCTTACATTCAATCAACATATTTACATCGGTTTTATGGTGATTCGTATTTTAAAAGGTGTTGCTTCTTTCTTTACGCTCTCCGTTTGGTTCGATCAACTGGATAATTTTGTTATTGGAACGACATCAATTCTAACAGTGCTATCATTTTTGTTCGACTGGCGATGCTTGCCATTACGCTGAACATTGAACAAAATCGATGAAAACAAATTAATAGCTAGGAACTCCTTAATCGATAAGAATATTTAAACTAAACGTTTTTACACTGAAAAAATCTAGAATTTTTAAGTCGACCACAAAATGATATCAAACATAATGTGAAAAATTATTGTTTCGTAAAATGTGTGGAAAAATGATATCAAAATGTCATTCCTATTTAAGTGTACTTCATTAGCATTAATTCTTGCAGTGTTAAAAGAATTGTTTCTATTCCGATGATTCCATTAATGTATTGAAAAAGTACAAATTAAACGAAGAAATTTAATTTATTGAAAATGAAATTTTTTACTAATATTTCAAAAATTAATTAAAATAAATTTTAGTCTGATAAAGTAAAAATAGCAAAGTATACAATATATAAATGTTGAGCTTGTAAACTTTATTCAAAATTATTGAAACCGGAATTCAGAAAAAATCGTTAAATTGCAAATTTTCAATGGTTTTTTTTGCATGTTGTCAAGTGTCACTTATGCTGACGTATTACTAAGACGTATAATTTGAGGTTATGTTCTTTGTATACAAAAACAATCTCTTTGGGGTGGAACATTTTCTTTACTGAAAAGAACTAGTGTCGAAAAAACGTAGTCGATTTAGTGCCGAAAAAATTCATACAAAAAATGGCAAATATCGTTCAGTATGTGATTGTGAATAAAGAGATCATAACAAAATTAGGTTGGCCCTTGGGTGCTGTAATTGCACAATGTTGTCATGCCACTACTGCGGTCGCTCATGTATTCAAAGAAGACACTGATGTGCACACATATTTTGGCGACATTGATAACATGCATAAAGTGGTTTTGGAGGTATGCACAGCATAACGTACTTAAAAAAGAAATTTTAATTCAACTCGTATCGTTGTGTCCATTTCAATTTCAGATCGGCACCGAAGATGAGCTACGAAAACTCAGCCAAGATCTTACCACAAATGATATTAAACATAAGCTTTGGATTGAACAACCTGAAAATATTGCAACTTGTATCGCATTGAAACCATACGAAAAGGATGCTGTTAAAAAGTTTACGAAAAAATATAAAATGCTTAAATGAGACATATACGTAAAGTTTGATTGAATGACATTTTTATTGATAAATAAATATACACGTGTACATATTCGCATAAAAATCAGCGAACTTGGTTACTATTTTCAATCTCTTTTCATTTCGGGTGATTGATGATTTTCATTCAAATCACTCATTTTACCAAAAAGCAAAAGAAAAGAAAGAAAAAAAATTTTGAAAGCACATTCAAATTGATGGTAATTGCCATCATTTTATTTATAATACATTTTGTTCTGTTATAAAATAATGTGTCAAATTCAGCCTACAAAAAAGTGACCAACAAATTGTTCGGTTAAGACCACAAAACAATTTAAATATTCATAAGGTATATTTTATAGATGGTCAAATAAGATTTATTAATAAAATTGAATGTTTTTTTAACATAATACAAAGAGAATTATTGGTTTGTTTACGATGAAATGATGAACTTTAGTTGGATGATTATACTGATTTAAAAAAAAAAAAAGTTAAAAAAGACTGGAAAACATTCTTAATTGCTACCGTTGAGTGATGAATTCGTTGAGAATGGTGTTGGATAGATTTTATTCTTCTTGGCTTTGGTCATTTTGCAGCTATTGACCGACGCGGCAAAACGAAGTGATTTGACAGTTTCAACAAAGCAATCCTGGAATGGTGATGCGTTGACAAACATAAGTGTTTTTGAATTGCCACCCAAGCTGGGCATCAGCAAATGTGTTAGCTTTGAATTTCTATATGGTATATGGTCTTGTTTTTGCAACAATGCCATTATGACATTGGTAAGTTCACTCAGCGATTTATTAATCTTTTTTGTTTCTTCCATTCGAACGCTTGTCTTTGGACTTTCTGAACCGGCCAAATCGATAAGATTTATTAAGCTTACAGTCATTTCATTTTTACCCTTGTGCTCGCCAAATAAACGCAATTGCGTCACTGAATGTGAACGTGATGAACGTTCATTGCCGGCAGTAGCCGCTGTTGCCCGATTTGCTTTGGCAAACTCAATTAATCGATGCAATTCATCTTTGTTTCGCACCTCACAATCGGCCAAATTTTGTACGAAAATTTCGGTTGGTGTTTTTGCACTGACCATACGAATGTCCAAATCTTTTGCTTCGTTGCTTAGCAAATCGAATAAAACCTCATTGTAGATTTCCAATGATGATGCATGCAATGTGTATTCCCATCCAAGTCGCTTATTTTGTTGAAAACAATCAAACAAGAGGTCAATTGTTCGGGGAATTATTCCTGGCATCGATTCGGTACCATCCATTGTGAATGTTTTTCCACTACCTGTAGCATGATCGAAGAAGAAAAAAACACAATAATTAACAACTGAAATATGCCAATTTTGAAAAATGACCAGAGAAAAGAATAATACATACCGGTTTGACCGTATGCGAAAATGCAAACATTATAACCATCGAGTGCTGATTGAATCAGCGGTGAGACTAGCTCAAAAATGTCCTCTTGAATTGAGTTCGGGCGAAATACTTGATCAAAATTGAATTCATGTTTGACTGGTTTCTTATTTACTTCGCTTGCTGTAATTGAAATGTTTAAATCAGTTGAGTTTATGATTGAAGGTGAAAAAAAAGGACATGCGACAAAAATTAAAGTGATTTCACTTACCAATTTCCAAAGAAGTCTCATCGTTATATTGCCATGAACAAATTGTGCGATTCTCCTCACCATCCAACGGTGGTCGAACACGACAAAATACTCGAATATTTCCTTGCAAATCCATAACCTTATTATGAAGCTCTTTTCGATCAATGTTGGCCCGGAACAATTGTTCGCCGGCCTCCTTTAGTTCCGTCGTCAAATGTTCAATCATTTCTTGTTGTGATTTCAATTTTGTCTCTAATTCCGTATTGTTTGATTTCAATTCATTATTTTCGATTGATACTGTATTGTACTTTTCGGTGATTTTCTGTTTGGCCTCTATAAGTGTGCGACACTCTTCGATTTTTGCATTTAAATCATCGTTCAGTGTATTGATTTTCAATTGATCAGCATCTTTTTGTTGTTGCAACGTTCGTAATTGCTTCTGCATGGATTTGTATTCACTTTCTAAATTGCTCAGTTTTTCTCGGCATTCATCATACTGTTCTGGCAATGATTCAAATTCACCGAGTTGTTCCTTTAATCGGTCGTGTTTATCTTTTAAAACTTTATGTTTATCTTGTAAATCATGGAACCGTGCTTTGAAATCGTAAGCTGGAATCTTTTTGTTGCCACCAACATTACTGCTACTACCTCCTGTCGATTTTGTCGGCACATTTTCTTTTTTGGCTGCTGTTTTCGATGGATTCGAATTCAAAACGAGTCTTTTATGTGCTGGTTGTGTCTTTGGTTTTACGACTGAACTTGGCTTTGTCGCTGGTTTGTTTACCGATTTTGGTGGTGCGTACGGTACCTTAACTTTTGGTGCTGGTGCCAATGGCATGGTAAATGCATGCAATCCTTTAACAGCACGCTTTTGTACATTTACCAAATTCATTACCGCATCAATATCACTAACCGAACGACTGCGACGCAGTTTTTTAGCCTCATTTATTTGCGATTTTGGCCGAAATGCTTCCGGCGATGCATGCCGTTTTGTTGGACGGCTTGTCGTATTCGTACCATTCCTCAAATTATTGATGACATTTTCGAACGAAGAAAGAGCCGTACGATTTGCCAGTTTCGAAACTAATCGATCACTTGGTACATGTGCCCGAATTGTTGGCTTTTTTATCATTGTTGGTAAACGCGATTTACCCTCCATTTAGATTGTAGTCACACAACAGAAAATATCGATAAAATTATACTTATATATATATATTTCTTTTTTATCAAAATCAAATCAATTTTTCAACACAAACACAATAATTGTTAAGTAGTCAATGTATGTATGAAAAAAAAACAAAAAAACAAAATGCCTCTAAAAATGTTGTTGATTCGGTGTATGTATAGTGTATGTCTGTTTTAAACAACCGTTGATCAACACTATGTTTCAATTTGATTTTTCAATTGCGATTTCGGTTTGTCGACAGTTGAAAACGCACATATTCAAATGACATTAATACGTATTTCGTAAACGCACTTTCAAATCGCACTTTCACTTTGAAATTAATACAGAAAATATATTTCAAAATCTAATGAAAAATATTCGTTTTTCTGCATTTAAAATGATAATCAATTCGATTTCGTATAATATATTTTTTTAATTTATTAAAGAAATAGCATTGAATTAATAAAAAGAAAAAAAAACTATAAACCAGGCATAATGTGTGGTTCACACAGTTCGAAATTTGTGTCGATAATTTGCTTATGATTATAGTTTGTCATGGTTGACGATGCGCTACTCTCCACTCTCCACGCACACAAACACACGCACAGCTCATGGCAATATATATAGTGGCGAAAATTTGTGCATGTATATGTGTGTAACAATAGCGAAGAGCAATGAAAGCAGGGAAAAAAACACAAGCAGTCATTCGCGGACGATTTATATATTTATGTTTTTGCGTACGTTCGTATTGACAGAAGCAGAAAAGAAGAGCGACTAGTTTTAATCACGGAGTGTGTTGTATTACGCAAAATTATTATTTGAAACGAATTTATCGAAAAAGAACGGAAATTGTTCATTAATTTTGGAAAAGATTAAAAACAAATGTTTTTTCGCTGGTATTTTATTATGTTAAGATCGTAAAAGTGGCTTTTGTAAGCGATAACTTAAGTTTTGAGCGATACTTCCTCCAAAAAATGCAGGTATTGTGTGTGTTTGTGAATGGCAAACGATTTTAAAATCAATGCATTTCCATTAAAAAAATCAAAAAAAAAGTCATAAAACAAAGTGTAGTTGAAGTGAAACTTTTACAAAATAATCAGCACAAAATGTGATTAAATTTAAAAGTTTCTTCCAATCTCATTTGTCACGATTATAAACGTTGTGTGATGGACAACAATTTGCTGTTTGCCATCGATAATTTGCTAAATATTTTGTTTGATAATGCCAATTAGGTGCTAATTGATATTTTGTCTTTTATCTTTGTTGCCAACAAAACAATTGAATATATGAATAAAAATAAAATAAAAAACAATGTTGCAGCAAGTCGACGATCCTCCCTATTTGACGGTGGGCACGGAGGTAAGCGCCAAATACAAGGGCGCTTTTTGTGAGGCAAAGGTGCGCAAAGTGGTTCGCAATATCAAATGCAAGGTTGCTTATAAGCAAGGTCTTGGCTCTGGCACCGTTTCTGATGACCAAATCAAATGCGAACTATTGCGCGTCGGTGCCACAGTTGAAGTCAAACATCCTGATCGACGTGAATTGGTGGAAGCAACAATTACAAAAATTCAAGATTACTCTCAATACACGGTTGTTTTTGATGACGGCGACATCACAACATTACGTCGTAGTGCATTGTGTTTGAAGAGTGGACGACATTTTAACGAAAGTGAAACATTGGATCAATTACCATTGACGCATCCAGAACATTTTGGGAATCCAGTGATTGGCGGACGCCGTGGTAGAAGGTGAGTCGAATTTTTCAAAGCGACATACATTTTTAATAATCAATTGTAAATGTTGTTTGTTTCTTTTCTTTCGCTCAACAGTTTGGAATTGTATAAAAAGAGTGTGGCACGCTCACGGCAAGGTCAAACGCCAGATGAAAGTTCCGAAGAAGATGAAGAACCGGAAGCAGTTAAGCCACGTATCGTTGAGAAAGAAGAGCACATTGGTAAAATAGTGTGCGTTGAAAGTACGGATACGAAAAAGAAAGGGCCCAAAGAAAATTGGTTTCCCGCACTGGTTGTGGCACCAACCGCACAAGACACTGTACGAATTCGTGTTAAAGAAGAGTATTTAGTGCGTTCATTTAAAGATGGTCGCTACTATACGGTTCCAAAGAAAGAGGCCACGGAATTTACACCCGAACAAGCTTCAAAATTGGATACACCAGCTGTGGCCGCCGCTTTAGAATATTCGCAAAATGATTGTCTGCCAGCCCATTGGGATCGTGAAGTATTATTTGGTTTGGGCAATTCATCGAGTGATTTTTACAATGAATTCGATTCGGATACATCAGACGATGAGCCGACTGAAGAGAAAGATCATTTTGTTGCCCAATTATATAAATACATGGATGATCGTGGAACGCCATTGAATAAAGGTCCATCGATTATCAATAAAGATGTTGATTTATATCGATTGTACCGTGCCGTACAAAAACTTGGCGGTTATAATCGCGTTACATCGCAAAATCAATGGAAACAAATTGCGATTCGATTGGGTTTTGTGCCAACAACAACAAGCATTCAAAATTTAGTGAAACAAGCCTATAAGAAATTCCTATTGCCATTCGAAGAATTCGATCGTAAATTGGGCTGTTCGATGGTTGCACATCCACGAGCTAATCGTATAAAAGGTCGCAGTTTGGTGCGTGCTAATTCAGTGGCGTCACCGAAACCAGAAAAAGAAGCCAAATCCACCACATCCGCAGCTGAAGAATCAGAAAATACAAGCGAATCGAGCATCGATACAAAACCAAAAACAAAAGTCGTTGGTAAAGTAAAATCGCTGGTTGATCGATATGAAGAGAAAACTGAAGAAAATAAACGCGATTTAAAGGATGTGAAAGAAAAAGAGACCAACAGAAAAGATAAGGATGTTGCATCAAGCTCAAAGACTGATGTGCCCGTAACGCCGACAACAAAAAAAGAGAAAACGAACAAAAAGCAGGTCACACCACAGGTGGACGAGAAAAAAGGCAGAAAAAAGGGAAAAGATAACGAAAACAGCGAAAAGATCAAATTGGAACCAGATGATGGCAAAGAGAAAATCGATACAGTCAATGTTCAACCAATTAATGTTGGCGATAAATTACGCGTATACTATCACGAACAAAAGGTCACCTACGAGGCGAAAGTTATTGAAATTTCACATGATCAATTGATGTATCTCGTACATTATACCGGCTGGAATACCAGGTACGATGAATGGGTGCCAAAAGAGCGAATTGCCGAAAATCTAACGAACAGTAAAACGAATAAGCGTTCAAAGGCTGGCGTTAAAAATGAACCCAGATCGGGTAGTTCAACATCGGAAAAATTACCCGGACCATCACCTGTCATTCGTTCATCGAGCAAACGAAATCGTGTGAGTTCAAGAGGCGATTCACAACCGCCACGTTCAACAACACCATCATCAATTGCATCAAATTCAAGCCGAACAAAATCGCCAGCAACACCGGCACAACAACGTCGCACAACACGTGGCCAACCGGGAAAATTACGACGAAATTCCAATAACACTGACATATCATCACTGCAAACCGATTCAGACAGTGATTCCGATGAGCCAGTTGTAAAAAAGCCAACACCTTCTCGTATCATTCATTTAAAACGTAAACCGGTGTTTGGTGCCAAAGCAAAAGCAAAACGAGAAGCAGTCATTGAAGCAATTGAAATTAAGAAAGAAAAAGATTCGAATCCAAGCTCCGAAGAAGAAACATTGGCCAGTACAGCGGCCAAGAGTCGCGGTGAATTTGAATTAAATCAGATGCGTTCCGCGTTGAAAGGATTCAATGATATTGAAAAAACATCAATTGAATCAAATGTATCCAGTTCAGCGACAATGGTTGAAAAGAAATTCGATTATATACCAAAAGTTGAACCAATCGAAATATCAAATACGACAACAGCAACAATAAGCAATACAACAAATGTTAGCACAAGCATCACATCACGAACGAAAATATCACCACAAGAAAATTCATCCGAAACCGATTCGTATGGTGATGAAGATTCACAATTTTCCGATAAAACTACCACACTTGAAAATGTGTCGGATAAATTTAATAAATTTTTATTTGATAAAAATGCAACAAGTAACAAACATGAAATGGTAGCCACACTTAAGCAATCAGGTATTGAGAAAATCATTAAAAGCACACTGGCCGAAAAGCAAAAATTGTTGCCCGAAAAATCAATGATGAAAACACTTGGCGAAAGAGCAGCATTGAAAGATGTCGAAAAGAAGACGGAAAAAGACACCTCAGACGAAAAAGATGCTCAACCATCTACAACAGAACATGATGACAAGGAAACGGCTAAGGAGATAAAAACCACCACACCGGTCACAAGTGGCTCCGAACAAATATCGGTTGTAACTGTAAAAGTTGAGATGGATAGAAAAAGTGGAAAAGTCATGGGATCGACAGTTGTAAAACCGCTGACACAAACGACGGAATCAAAATCAGAAATTATCAAAACTACCAAACCACCCGAAGAAGAGAACAAAATCGAAACACCATCACAAACAATCCCAACGATATCATCACCACAACCCACCAATCAAGAGAAATCAACAGCCTCTGAATCCATTGTTGACACTGAAGTCACGGTGAAAGTTGAAGTGAGCGAAAAAAGTGTATCGACATCGAAACAAATTTTTGCCGATAAATCGAAACCATTTAACAAATCAGCGCTTCGACAGCCGCTTGTAGCTCCAAAAGAAGAAACAAAAACCACTGAATCGGGTACAGATGCCAGTAGTAGCAACAGTAGCAGCGCATCTTCAACAACAACTGCAGCAGCAGCAGCAGCAGCAGCATCAACATGTGATATTTATGAGTTTAAGGAGCCAGAACTTTTTGAATTCGAAACATCAAAAAAACTATCGCCCGAAACGGATAAAAAAGCCAAACGAAAGACACAAACCGAATCAATAAAACCACCACCTTCATTATCAACGCCGACATTATCGCCATTATCAACATCATCGTCATCACCACCATCGGTTGCGCCAGCCAAGCGAACAAAAAAATTGAGCAAAGAACCAGAAAAGGCCAAAGAAAGTGATGATCAAAAATTAGCAAAACCAATAGCATCAGCCGGTTCTGTATTTAATGTGCGTGGCGATTTAATATTTGATACGCTACGAAAGTCACCATGCTATATGCCAGATCAAGTTGATGAAGAAATGATGATGAACGAAGATTGTCCATCAACATCCGAAGCGATACCCGTACAACAATTGCAATCCGAGATTAAGCCATTGTTTATCAATTCATTTGTGGATGCAACGCCCGAGGAAACATCAAAAATATTCGATTTAAAGAGTGGCGTAAGCGATTTCAAAGAAGATTTGGAAAAAGAATTGGAATCGGTGAAAAAGATTTTGTTGAGCGATGAGGTGCTAAATCAAGAACCACCAAAAATTGACAAACCATCATCAATTGCTGATAAAGTTTTGAAAGCGCTTCATTCACAACAACAATTGCCCGCATCACTGAATGCCGCCGAATCATCATCAGTCGAAACATTAGCAGCGACAGCGCCAGCAGCAGCAGAAGCAACAAATGAAGCTGATCCAGCCGACATTGTGACACCAATCACGGTCGATGTAATGCCAAAAGCCTTAACAACATTTGATAAATCGGTTACACCATCCACATCCACAGCTGCAGTAAGCTGTGGAGAGTCAGCGATGACATCAACTCGAGCCAGTTCATCATACCGGGCGGGCATTTCACCAAATACAGAGACAACTACCATTAAACCTGTGCTGAATAAGATTGATATTCTCGAATCAATATCACCGAAAAATAATGATCTCAGTGAAACGATTCAAAAATTGGAATCGGCCATTCAAAAATCGGGCGAACATACTCATATGTCGGAAGATACGTCGGACAGTACTGATTCTGAGCAACGGCTTATCATTGAAGATGAATCTCAAAGTTCAGAAACACCAAACGAATTTGTGCTCAGCAAACAAGAGAGTGATCAATCGTATGGCGGCAAACAAATAAGCAAAGAAAAGACATCGACCACCATAACAGTCATTTCATCGGTTAGCGATAAGAAAATTTATGGTTTCGATGAAAAAGAACTTGCCGATCAATCAATAGCAACGATGGCTGCAGTAGCTGCAACTGCAATGGCTGCAGAAATATTGCCGACACCATCATCTTCGTCGGCACAACCATCGTCAACGTCAGTGGTAATCACCGCTACTTCAAATGTTACAAATACAATCGCAAGCACAGAATCAAAGGTTTCAGAAGAGCCAAGCAGCATTAGTAGCAATGAACAAACTACAACAATAAAAACCGATGAACCAGCTGATAAAGTTAAAATTGAGGATGAACTTGCCGCTGAAAATGCTCAAAATGAATCAATTTCATTGTTATTGTGCGAAGAAACCATTCCGGGTTCACCAGCACCAGCTTATCCAAAGGAACAATGTGATTTAATCAAAAAGAATTATGATAGTATATTCACTAGTCCATTGACCGTGGCTGAAGTTGATGCTAAACATGTTCCCACCGAATCCAGTACCTCTGCTACCACCGATGCAAAACAAAATAAGAGCAAAAATGCCACACCACGCAGTTCGCCACGTGATTCATTGAGTCAAGAGGATAGCAGCGAGGAAAATAATAAAAAACAAGGTAAACTGTTTGAATCTATTTATTTCGTTTGATAACAACCAATTTTTGGTAGAATTTTCGCTAAGCCGATGTTTTTTTTTATTTCAATTCAGAACATGAACGAATTGGATCATCAAAGAAGCGACGCTGTACGCGTAAGCAATCAGAGGCTGAAGCAGCATCGAAACGAAGAAAGGCAGCTACGAGACGAAATACCCAAACTGGTAATGTTGCAACTTTGCCAAAAAAAAAATCACATAAAAATCAAGAAGAGGGAGCATCATTTCACTTTTTTGTTCGATTTCATTATTTCAGGCTCTGAAAGTGAAGATAATTCTGATGCAATAACCACGCATAAAGTGCAACGACCATCAAAATCACATCAATATAATTTCCTTGTTCAGCTGGGTATGTGAACATTGCAAAACAAATAACATTTTGTTATTCATGACTAAAACAAACTATATCTTTTTAAATTGATAGATCCGGATATGAATAGTAGCCAACGAATAACATTGCTAAAGAAAAAGATTCAAGATTTGCGTAAAACATACATAATGGTCAAAACGGAGCTAGCAAGTATTGATCGACGGCGTAAAAAATTGCGTCGCCGTGAACGAGAGATGAAGAAAAATGTACAAAAACAATTGCAACAACAATTGCAGCAGCAACAAAATCAGCAAATATTGGTACAAGTCGAAAATCATCCAACAATAATAATGTAAATTTTTGCGAGTCAAGACACAAACACACACACACACACACATGTGTTTGTTCTTTTTTTATTTACTGTAAGACAAATTGCAAAAACATTCTTTACTTTTTATTCGGCAATTATTATTTTAAAATATTTTTTGTATTTTAATTGAGAATTATTTACTCTTTTGCGCCTGTGTAAAAAAAAATGCCATTCAATTTCTCATCAATTATCATATAAGAATAAGAAATTAATTTGATGACATTTATCATGCAACAAAATGAAGCACTCACATTGTGAGCAAAGTAAGATTTACGAAAAATTTGTTTTGGCTCAGCCAAATTGAATAATGTACACACTATTTTATTGCATCATTTTTAAATTTGATGGTTTTTTCAACAATAACATCAACCGTACACATTTTATTTTAATTCTCGAAAATTTCCAATTTATTATTGAAATGAAAATTAAGAAGGAAGATCACAGCGGACGGCAGTTCGCGCGAGTGACGAAACCATTATGATAGACACATAGTTGCACGTGGACGAATTCAAAAATTTAGTACCAATTTGTACATTTTTGGCGGTTAGAAGAGAGAAATCATTTGATAAAAACGAAAATACTTTGGAAAATGTTTGTATAATGTGCAAATTAATGATGTAAGAATTTTTACTAAGCTGAGAAATAAAATTTTATTTACTCAAGATTTACTACTGTTTTAATACGTAAATTAAAATCGAAACGAAAAAGAAATCAAATGTTGTCAATTTTGTAATAATAAAGTAAGTCATTGTGAATTTC